ATGGTCGCCACCACTGAAAAGGGCCCAAGTGGTTTCTGTCTGTGCCGCGATTTCACTCCCTTCCTAATATCGTCAATCAGCACCCCCCACCTCCCCAGAGAGACGAGAATCATTTCTATGTTGATCCCAGTGTTGTTTTACCTGCTCTGTTGCTTTAAACACTCTACATTAAGATTTTCTAGATTCACGGCTTAACACAATTTGCTTTTTTTCCCCCAAAACATTTTTTGTCAGCCATACACAAAGAGCCTAAGACGGGTTTAGTAATGGAAGCTTTTCCTGTGTTCTGAGGGAACATCACAGGGTCTTTAGAATAATGCTCACCCTTGCGGGAAGCCCTGTGTTCGGTGGGGGTGGGGTGAGAGAAGAGAGATGTTTGGAGGGTTTAAGACAGACAACTATTACCAGAGGATGTATTTATCCGCCCATTCAGTGAGGGGAAACCAATGGTTCCCTGAACATGGAGGTGACTGAGGGACTGACCCTGGTACCCGCTTTGTATTTTCAACTGTAAAAACATGATTATTGGTGGGATAGTTGCAGGGGTGAGAACTTTAGCACCATATTGAAGATGAAAACATCTCCTCAAAGAGTGATGAGTTAGTTAGCATTGCGTTTCCTCTCGACTGGGTACCAGGATCGGGGACAGAGGTAGACAGTGGAGTGTTATGCTCTGGGAGCTCTTACACCTCTGCCAGGAATCAAACTCTTTCCAGTGACCAAAGCACCTTTATCTCATGGCAAGACACTAACTTAAGCCGTGCCCGTCTCTGTCTTCTGCTACTGTTTGCCTCATCCGCCTGTTGAAGCTGCCGGATAGAGACTGGTTAAACTGCAATCCCACACACACGACTATCTCCTCTGGGAGAAACACCAGGCGCGGAGATGCCAAGGGCCCTCCCTAAAGCCTGACTCAACCAGGCCATCACCTCTGCTAGTAACTGCTTGCACAGCCTCCTGCACAGAGACCAGAGGGTGCAGATCAACTGCGTGACCTTTCAGGCAGCGAGAAAGTTGGGAGTGTGAGCACAGGCGAGCGGGAAGAAGGAAAAGCAAAGTAAAACAGTAGATTTTTAATAACTGGAAATAACAAGGAGCTAAATAGCAAAATTTCAATTACAAAAATTAGTTACAAAAATATCTAGAACTTGATCAGGTATTTAATATTTTTTTCTCTACTCTGCGTGTAAGGTAATATCGATCATTTATACACAATGGGTGCCATTTCCACAGCGACTCAAAAATCCAGCATAAAATCACAGGTTTTACAGGTGTAATTTTACTGGGAGTTTGATGTGGGAGGAGAAAAAGACTTAATTTTCTTACTGGGAACAAACTGACCCAATCGCACCATGTGATTATTACACCAACACGCTGTGTTTAGGGCTCAAGGGCTCACTGCGAAATTCTCCCAGGCACCTGGATATATTATAGGTTTTGCTGCACGTCCACACTCTGGGGTGCCCTGATCTATCACTTGGGCCATTTTAACTAACCAAAAAGTACCGAGGGACACTGTGTTAAACCGGCAGAATGAGAAACCGGCAGAGAGTAGCCCCAGTTAGCCACGCTTTGAATCGCAGCAACCTATTAGCAGAGCGGCCAAAGTATAATTCCATTGTTTATCAAGAGGCAAAAATCTTATCTAAATGGGAGCAGCAAAGTTAAGCATTCACCGGGCATCTGGGTTTGAATCTTATACTCAAGGCAGGAGACCAGCCATCGGAAACAAAGGTTGAACCCTGAAAAGGATAGGATATGGAAGGGTTTGTGTGTAATCTGGATTGATAACCCACTGCATTGTTGGCAATTTCATAGCATGACATCCCAAGCTCTGGCCTGCCCATTGAACCAAGTCTATCCACAGCCCTCAGTTGATGTACCCGCCTGTCTTGTCTGCACACCTGCAGAGAAACAGTCCCACGTGCAGAGCACAGAATCATCACGTTAAGCTTCACCAGCGGAACTCAAGCAGCCCATGAACCCAAGGCACCTTCAGCCACAGCCCAACTGCAGCTCAGTGAAACAGGCCCTGGTTAGACTAACAACTTATTGTAGAGTTTGGGCACAACACGACATGTCAAGCGACTGCTGGGATGGTGGAAGGCGAACTAGGTGGACCTCGATCTTCCTTTGCCCAACAAATTCTTATAAAACTAACAGCTATAGGTCAGGTCACCTCTTAATTATGACTACAGAGTTCCAATCTCCATTCTTAACACGCAAGGGTTGGCGTGCACAGCCAGTGATTAGCTGATTAGATTAACAAAAAAATGAACACGAACAGTTCCAGCAGTTATAATGGTGTCAAAAAGAAGGCGTAATTCAAACAAATTTAAAGATACTGATTAACTGAATAACCCGTTAGAAAAAAGAACAAGCTTTTTTTCTTGGGTGGTGGAGAGAGGAATTATAACATAATAATAACCCTTGTATTTGATACAGCGCCTGATCACGTCTTCTGGACGTCTCCAAGCGCCTTCACAGGATACACTGTAAAGTAAATCGACTGCATATTCTGTGGGCAAAACGCGGCAGCCAACTGTGCCCAGAGGAGTCCCTCCCACAAACGGTCGTGGATTGTGTGACCACATTAACGGGGGAGAAAAAAAAGGTAGGTGACCTCGTAGCTGTGGGCACTGAAGGTGCCAGTGTCCTGGTTCCGCTAGTAAAACTAGTTTAGTCTGTGCTCCAATCACTTTGTCCTGCGATTGCTGAGAAACATGTTGACAACCAGCACAGAAGCCTACAATATAAGAATTTTTTCCTTTTCTATACATTAGCTCTCCGCATAACATAGAACAATAGTATTTTCTGAAATACACCTTAATTTCAATTGCAGCCTTGAGAACATCAATCTAGAGGATCTGGTAATCTCTCCCCCACCCGCCTCCTCCTCCACCCCCCACCCCCCCACCCCCCCCCCTCCCACGTTCGAGTAAATAATTCTAATTTGCAACAGGAAATCTGAAAAGGCCGTCTTATAGAGAGAATTCAACTTCCTTCTGCTTCGGGTTCTGACAACAGAACCGCTTTCAAGCCAGTCTGATTGGAGTTGGACATTTTATGTGGTGCGCTTGTGGGAGCAAAATCCTGCAAATGTGGGGGCCTAACTTTTTTGGAAGAAAGAGAATTCAGAATTGGTCAAAAGATCTTCCTTCAGTGTCTCTTTGCTGGAACGGCTCCCTTTAAGTCAAAAAAAAAACCCAAGCGACTTGCATTGCAGTTGGTAGCACCCAAGCCTTGACCTTCTTATTGCCCGTAGAGTTGCTATACGGGGCACTGCGGAGCACGCCAGCGGACTGGAGTGTGTTGCCTGAGGGGGAAATGCCCCCAAAATGGAGTGTTTCCACACACTAAGGTCGAACACCTCCCTACGTGTGTGGAGAAAAAAAAGCCGGCTAGCCAGATAACCGACCCTTTAATCAACACGTCATCAAGCTTTTGACAAATATCCCTGTGAAGTGGTTCTCTCTGAAGCGAAGGAAGATAAAAACTCTCGATGGTAAAGCCGGGCCGTTTGAGATCTCATCAGCCGCCGTGAACAATTTGAAAAGCAAAAATAATTTTCACCGGGGGCTGGAAACCCCCGCAAAGTGACGAAGAGATTAGAAAACTGCGGCCTCACTGTCTATGTAAGCATAGCCCCCACCCCCCTCCCTATCCAGCTCATAGTTTCAAACAAATCCCATTGGGAAAAGGAGTCTATTGCACTTGTGTCAGGAGAAAACACTTTCTTCGCTGTGAAGAAACAGGGAAACTCATTTGGGTGAAAGGAAATACTGGGGGGGGGGGGGGGGTTACCCCCAAAAGAATAGGGTTCAATCAGTGGATGGACTCTCCCTGACTCTATGGGGTTGAGGGAGGGGGGGGGGGGCAGGGGGGGTGAAGGAGAGCAGATGGGAGAGGAGGGGAAAAGAGAATGGGGGTGGGGGGGGCAAAACAGATGGCAGGGTCTGTTGAAGTCAAACACACTCAACAAAGCCACTCCCCCCCCGCCCCCACCACCACCACACAGCAACCAGGAGGCAAAGCTGAAAACTCTCACATTGTCCACTCAATGACAAAGTGATAGCACCTTCCATCAGATCCTGTGGGTCCGTCCATTCCTACAGCGCCTCTGCCAGCGCTCAGCTGCTCTCACACTCCTTCACCCACCCTCCCTCACCATCACCACACCTCGGGAGAACAGGAACACGCGGCGAGCTGCTCCCCCCACCCCCAAACACATCTCGCACAGCCAAGAAAGTGTCGTTCTCTCAGACCAGATTTCACATCGCATCAAATTGTCCCTGGCCAATTCTATCTTGTACGGATCGTTATCCCATCCGCTCCCCAACCCCTCCCTCCGCCCTCCCTCCCTCCCTCCCTGGAGATTTTATTGCCTCAAATTTCTCAACCAAATACCCCACCCACAAAAAAAATATTACTTACTCTGCCCTGAGCCTACGTGGCAGATTTAAAGTTATACAACAACGACCCCCACCCCCACCCCCCCCGCACAAAGCTTCTAAACGGTGTCCTTGATCTCGGAGGTGCCGACATTCCTTTTTCCCCCAACGTTCAAACTCTAAGCCATTCAGCTGTGAAACGCGAGGAGGTGCACATATCCTGAAACATAACCCTCCTCTTGCTCCCTCACGTTTAGTTTAAACCCAGCCAGACAACGCAGAACACAATCACACTGAGCTCTTGCTCAGGGGGGTGGGGAGGGTTGTTGTTGAGTTTTAAAAGGAGATTTTTTGAGGGGAAAAATAGAGAAAGATAAGTTGTTTCGCAGAGATGGGTGTTTCCTCGCACAATTACGCATCACATATAAACCAGCAACTCACACGATCAGGTAGGAAATGCCTCCATTCTTAGCGAAACCATTCAGAGCATTTCAAAGGGAAAATACTGCAAAATAATAAATAAATAGGGCGGCCAAAAAAAACCAAACTCGAAAATAAACCAAAACTAACATTCCTGCACTATTTGAAATAAAAAAAAACACAAGGAAAAATTATTGATCCCTTTATAGCAATGGTTTGTGCTAAGGTTAACAGATCAATGTTGTTACCTATCTTATCCAACATCTAAGTAGTTTTGTGGCGTGCAGTACATAAACATTTCTTTCTTGGGAAATAGAAGGGGGTGTTTAAGTAAGCGAAGTAACTTTGTGATACAATAATTTGATTTAAAAGCAAATGCACATTCTCAAATCTGGAAAAGTCAGTTCGTACTGTCTGGATATCAGTTAATAAAAAATAAAACTTAAAAAAACAAAAAAAGTACGTCTTACAAGGCTTGACATGCTGTCTCATCGGCCTGCTTTGCACAGTAGCTGCAGAGCTAGTTACAAGAAGTCTTTACTAAGAGGTTAACATGTTCAGACTAGCAGCAGAATTTCTACACTGAAGCAATTAACATAGCCCAAAATACTGTAAACTGCACGATTTAAGGAACAAATTCACAAACAGAACAGGCCACATTATTCTCCTTATTCTGAACTCATCTTACTCCTCACTGCATGCTAACCGTGACAGCAGAAACTATCTGCAACCAGCACTGTCCTTCCGCACTCTATTAACGGAAGCAATTAAACCTCGATAATTTATTGCCCTCTCCCTCCCTCTCTCTAATTTAAAAACCGTTGCAATCTTCCACGTAAGAAACAAGATAATTTTTTTTATCGTAGAAGATATAAAGAAATATTATAGCAACGAAAACAACTTTTTGTCTTAAAAAAAATCATCTCGATTGTCCAGTATTTAAAATAACCTTAAATTTTTTTTCCCCATAAGACCTTTTTTGCCTCGTATGGAAAGACATCTTCTTGAATCGTTGCTGGCTTCAGTGATCCGATCCTGTTTCCTCAAATCATTTTCTCTCTCCTGTTGAGGTCATATTTTTTCGCCTCTTTTTATTTTTTTTTCCGTTTGCTCCCCTTATAGGAACTTTCCTCTTATTTTTGTGTGTGTTATTATTAAAACTCATGCTTTTCCTCTTGCTTGTCTGAATTGCTGATGTTTCAGTGATAACGACGCTTTTCCACAAATAACAGTGTGTATTTTGCACAAATCCACATCTTCCTTCTGAAGAAATCGCTTTTTTTTCTTTTTTCCCTCTCTCGCTCGTAATAATATATATTTATTATTTGTTTTAAGTTGCAAGTCCGTTTGTTTCCTCCTTTTTTAAGATGACTTTTTGACTGCTCAATTCAGTGATATAACGGTGTTTCCCCAACAAAAAAAAACTATCGATTTGATTTCTTTTTTCATTTTTCCTTCTCTTTCTCTCTTTAGCTTGTCTTCGGCTTTTCTTTTTTTGTGTTTCGGTTTTAAACTTTTTCTTCTTTGCAATCGAATCGAAATCAAATCGCAATCAAATCGACCCAATAAACCCAAATCTTTTGCTCTTTGTTATTTGATTTTTTTTAATAAAACGTCTTCTTTTTCTTCATATTCAAATCGTCCCGAATAAAACCCAAATCTTTTTTTTAAACTCTTTGTTATTTGATTTCTATTTCTCTCTCGCTTTCTTTTTCTTTCTTTTTTTTGTCTTGTTTTGTGTGATTGATTTCGTTTTAATTTTTAATCTTTTAAGCATTTGTAAAAAGACCATTACTCATTTTTCCTCTCCCTCTTTTCAATCGTCGTCCACATCTTCTCCATCAGAATCCTCGGTTCCTCCACCACCTCCTCCTCGCCTCTCGAAGAGCATTTTATCCCGGTGTTTGTCCTGGATAAGAACATGAGAATTGTTAGACAAAAGAGGACCAAAGTCCATCTAGTTCAACTTCCACCCTCCTGGCAGTCGTTTGACATGTTGTGTCCCAACCTATATACTGTATCCCCAGATATTATTCTCTATCTAATTTGCTCTTGAAACAAACAACACTTTCTGCTTCCACCAATGGAGCCTGTTTTGTACAATTACTACTCGTTCACTGAAGTAGCGCCTCCACAGATTGTATTAAATTTATCCCCTTTCAATCACAGGCCATATCCCTCTGGTTCTACTGTTCTTGGCAAGATAAAATAGCTTATCATGGTCTACATTATCCAGTCCCTTCAGAATCTTAAACACCGCAATCACATTAATAATAATAATAATAATCCTTGCATTTGATATAGCGCTTTTCACGTCGCCCCTCAACCTGCTCTTCTCCAGCATGAACGTGCCCAGTTTATCTAATCATTTCTTGCATTCCAGTCCCTCCATCCCCTCAATCATGTCAGTTGCCCTCCTCTGTATCCTCTCATTTTCTGCAATATCCTTTTTATATTGCGGTGACCAGAACTGCACACGGTATTCCAAGTGCGGTCACACCAGTGATTTATAAAGTGGCAGGATTGCCCCACTATTTCGGCTCGATATCCCTTTTGGAATATTGCCCTCGAGTCCTGTAGCTCAGTGGTTAGAGTGCTCGCCTCTCAAGCGAGAGGAGATGGGTTTGATTCCTGGGCAGGAAGTTTCCTTACTCCACGATTGTTTGTGGGACACTGCTGTGCGCAAATGGCTGCCGTGTTTCGCCCACAAAATACAGTCAATTCCCCTTACAGTATAACTTGGGAAGCGCTTTGAGACATCTCAAAGACATAATATCAAATGCAAGGATTATTAAAATTATTATTAAAATGTGCTTTGCGACGTCTCACGCACGTCTTAAGGCGTTATATCAAATGCAAGGAAGAGGATGATTATAAGGCCTTTTAGCGTCTCAGATTAATTAAATGTTAAACGTAATCAATACATGAAGGGCTCCATATCAATGTACATTTGTATGGTCTTAATCTCAGATCAAGGCTGAATAACAAGCAAAGAGTTGTCATTCTATCCTCACAAAATATACAGTCTCTACAACTTCCAGTCCTGTCCTGTGCCTATTCAGGTGGATGATAAAGATCCCACGGGCACTATTTCTCTCTCCCGGTCTCCTGACTGACAATCCCCCAAATAGAATTGGTCACTCCCTCCATCACTGTTTGTGGGATATTGTGGGACACCGGCTGCCGTCTTTCGCCAACAAAATACACAGTCACTACACTTTACTGTATGTCCTGTGAGGCGCTTCGATGATATAAGGCTGTATCAAATGCAAGGATTATTATTATCTATAAAGTGGCAGGATTAACCCCAACTATTTGCCCTTTTAAATGCAATACCACCCAGCATCTGCCCGCAGTGACTACACTTTACAGTGTATCCTGTGAAGCGCTTGGGAGACATCGCGATGATGCGACAAGGCGCACTATCAAACGCAAGGATAATTATTATTACCATTACTTTCAACAGAGCGGCTTTCACATCCGGAGGACGTTTCAAAAGGGTTCGCAGTAAAGCGGAGCGACTGTGGTTTGTAGAACAGAACATGGAACCGAACCCCATAAAAAAGGCTACAACCACAATAACCCCGGCATTTGATATAGCGCTTCTCAAGTCTTCTACACGTCTCAAAGCGCTTCACAGAATAGATGGTAAAGTGAATTGACTGTATATTTGTGGATTGCGCCCGGCAGCGTCCCCACAAACAGCCGTGGGTTGAAGTGACCAATTTATTACAGCAACAAGAAGAGAGCCTCGGCCGTTTGACCCGGCGCCCCGAACGCCTCCGCCGAGACGCCTTCCCGGGGACGCGCCCGAGGCCGAGCGGGGACGGCGCGCCCACCCCCCCCTTCTGCGGGGCGATCGGCCCGCGAAGACCGCCGCCGATTGGCTTCGCGGCGGGTTCTGCTGAGCGCTTCGGGACCTGACGAGGTTATTACACACATAGATATATATATATTATCATTAAATATAGATATATAGATATATAAGCGCAGCCCAGTTTGTGGGCGTCAACAACAACAACGACCACCACCTCGGCGCCCCCCCCCGTCCCCCCCAACCCCACCCCGTTACCTGGATCTCCTTCATCTCCTCGGCGTACTTGCTGAAGGCGCTGCCGAACTTGGACCAGGCCTTGTAGGGGACGGTGATGGAGTTCCGGTACGAGGGCTTGACCTCGCTCACCCGCATGAACACCCCGTACTTGTTGGAGCCCACGTCGAAGAAGAAGCGCTTGCTGTCCACCGTGATGGACGTGCCCTCGGGCAGCTCGGCCTGGCCGCACGGCTCCTCGTCCACCCCGTAGTCGTCGATCAGCTTGGCCAGGGCGTCCCTGAACTCGATCAGGCCCTGCGCCGGCAGCGCGATGGTCTGGCCTTGCGCGCCCCCCAAGCCCGGGCCTCGATTTAACGTCTGCCGGATGCGCAGGAAGCGGCCGCGCTGGTTCTCCTTCAGGTCCATGTAGTACTTGCGGTTCTCCCGCACCAGGAACTCGCTCTTCAGCGCCCGCCGCGGCTCGTCCGCGTTCATCCCTCCGCCGCCGCCGCCCCCCCCGCCCCCGCCGCCGCCCGCCGCCGAGTCCGAGGTGTCGGTCGGGCCGAGCTGCGCGTAGTGCTCGATGAAGTCGCCCAGGTAGTCGCGGAACTCGGCGGCCACCGCCATGGACAGGGTCAGGCGGCTCTTGTTGCCGCCCGCGCCCACCTCGGCGATCTTGATGAAGCGGCCCTTGGCGTTCTGCTTGACGTCCAGGTAGAAGCGCTTGTTCTGGATGTCCACCCGCTTGGAGGCCAGCTCCTGGGTCTCCTGCTGCTGCTGCTGCAACAGCCCGCTCCCGCCGCCGCCGCCCCCGCCCCCCCCGGCCCCGCCGCTCCCGCCGCCGCCGCCTCTCTCGCTCCCGCTGTCGCCCTCCGCCATCTTAGCTCTCAGCTCAGCCGCCACAGCCTCTCCTCTCTCCCCCCTCCCCCACCACTCGCTCTGCGGCCGGGGCTCTCGCGAGACTTCAGGCCACCCACCGCTCTCGCGAGACTTTTTCAGGCCCCCCCCCCTACAGCTCTCGCGAGGTTTCAGCCGCCGGATCTCGCGAGATTTCACTTACCCCCACCCACACACACCCCACTCCTGTAGCTCAGTGGTTAGAGCACTCGCCTCGGTTCGGTTCCAGGCCCAGGGCGAGGCCTCGGGCAAGTTCCCCCCACACATAATAGCCCCCAATAATACTCCCTCCGAAGCCAAAAGGCAATAATAAATTGGTCATCTTCAACCCGCGGCTGTCTGTGGGGCACTGCTGTGCGCAATCGGCCGCCGCGTTCGCCCACAAATATACAGTCACTTCACTTTGCAGTGTGTTCTGTGAAGCACTTTGGGACGTCCTCCCGACGTGAAAAGCGCTATATCAAATGCCAGGATTATTATTATTACTATAAAGCGCTCCGGTGTTTGTTGTTAATAATAATGATGATCTAATAATTGTTGTAGCGACTGTGCGTTGGGGGGGAACGCAGCTCTCGGTACCGACTCGGCCACCTCGATGAAATGGCCTTTGACGTTCTTCCTAACCATCCGTCCAGGGTGTTCTGGATGTCCGCCCGCTCGTTCCGCCTCCTCCACCTCTCTTGCTTCCGGCCTCCACCGTCTTAGTTCGCCGCCAACCTTCCTCTCCGTATGGAGGTGCCGTGAGATCCCCCCTCCATCGCGTACTCCCCCCTCCCTGATGGCCAAACATCGCAAGACGGCACCTCCGACAGTGCACCGGAGTCAGCTTAGGCGGTTGTGGGTTCCAAATCCTGACGTGGGGCTTGAATTCACAATATTCTGACTCAGAGGCGAGATTGCTAATAACTGAGCCAGACCGGGGGGACAGATACCTTTGAGCATATATTGCAACTGAAGTTGCCTACAAAATATGCAGCCACTACACTTTGCAATAAATCCTGTGAAGCTCTTTGAGACATCCTCCTGTCTGGATCCAATGCGAGGATTATTATTCATTGACAAATGATTTGCTTTTCAGGATGAGAGCCACAAGAGGGAGACGTTTCAAGGAATCATTTGTGAGCACATGTTTTGCCAGTCCCAGCTTATCCACTGTACAGTGTATCCTGTGAAGCGTTTTGAGACATCTCGACATAAGGCGCTATAGATATAAATGTAAATTGCTGTTCAGAATGCATGTACTTTGCACCAAGATATAACAAATGCAAGGCCTGGCCAACAATCTCCCAGATAAAATTGGGGTAGGAAGGGAGGGCTCCGTCACTCGCATGTTGCTGAACACCTTGGAAAGCAGTCAACTCTCGCAGCGGACACATCTATTTGCCAAAGCTCCACATGACCTGGATGAGGTTCTCGCTAGTTAAACTCCCAACATATTCTCTGAGGTCCCCAGGCCTCGGCTCTTGCAAATCAGTGCCTAGTAACAATTAAATAAGCCGGGTGGTTCCTTCCGGGGAAGAGTGCAGATTGCAATCAGATACAGGGACATTTCCATACACATTAAGCAATGGTAAAGTGTTTTTTCCAAGTGTTGCCGGGTAATCTGAAGATTGATGGTTCATAAAATACAAATTTTATTATTGCTTCATTCTACAAGTTCATAAACACATTTTTTTTTACATAAAAAGAGACACCAAAGCCTGGATATGTAGATTAGCTGTCACGCAGCTTTAGTTATAGTGTGATCGGAACGCAAAACCCTGACATTGCTCAGAAAATCAGCAATGCACCTGTTAATGGCGATGTGTTTTGAAGCGCAGAGTGAGCCGGCTGTCTTTCTATGTGAGTGCAAAAGCGCTGAACAACAAGCGTATCCCCATTATTCATAGATTCATATCATGTTACGATACAGAAGGAGGCCATTCGGTCCATCGAGTCTGTGCGGCTCTTTGACAGAGCGTCACTCTCACTAACCCCAGTCACCAGCTTTCTCCCCATAACCCTGCAAACCCGTCTTCCCCAGATACCTGTCCAGTTCTCTCTTAAAAGCTGTTATCACTTCACTACCCTTTCAGGCAGATCATTCCAAATTATGGCAACGGTCTGGACCTCCCCACCTCCAGCTCTACTGTATATTACACAAATTGGCTGAATTAATATATATATATATTTTACAATTCCTCCTGCAAAGTCTCGTTCTCTCTGTAAAAAAACATGTCCACGTCCTCCATTGCCAACAGCTCACCCAAGGAAGTCACACAGGGATCGTGGTCTTTCAGCCCCGGGGGGAACAAGGCAGACAAGTGCTCGATCCGGACAGAACGGCGGACCGGAGTCAGGAACTTCAGGTTCTGCCGGCCAACGGTTTGACTGCTGGCTTGTTTCTCTTTCCCTCTGTAAGGATAAGCATTCCATGTGAAGGAAAACTCAGTGATCCTGCTCACTGAACCAGTATGAAACTCAACACCACTGTGGATGGGACGCTGCTGTGCGCAATTGGCTGCCGCGTTTCCCCCACAAAATATACAGTCAATTAACTTTACAGTATATTGTGTGAAGCGCTTTGAGACGTCTCGAAGACGTGATAAGGCGCTGTATCAAATGCAAGGATTATTTATCCCAAGGCGCTGGACAGTCAAGAGTTTTCACCTTGGATTCTCTTACCTTTGAACCCGGGGGGTGGCAGTGACTCGGTGTTTGATGATGCAGGAACCATGCTGGGTTTTGTGGCCAGTCAGGATGCCCAGTGTTGCTATATGTGGTATCTCAGGCACAGAGGCTTCACCCTCTTCACTGCCACTTGGCTTCTCCTCTGCCAATCCCGGGCTCTGCTCAGTAACAGTACTCTCCGTGGAAACAGGGGCAGCGAGGGCTGAACAGAGAAGCACATCCCGTTACACTTGGGGAAATTGTGGCAAGAAGTTTCTTTAAACCTATCACTTCACACACACCTCCTTGTTTGCCGCACATCCACACTACTGTGAAGCCCTCCAAGACATTATCTACATGAAGGGTGATCGCTACATAAATACAAGTTGTTGCTCTAAACTGAACCATGTGTAGCTGTGAATTCCCACTAACAGGAGGCAGGCTGTGTGGTGTAAGAGATGCAATATTACAGGGGTTTTTTTAAATTTGGGACTGATGGGATGTTTTTATCTAACGATCACAAGGAAAACAGATCACTTTACTTCTCTGTAACACACTGGGCAGAAGTGAGGGGGAAACAGGCTTTGAGGCTATGAACATACCTGTGCAGGCTGCTTGTGAGTTTGTGTTTCTCATGAGGACATCGACCAGGGCAGATCGGAGTTGGTCCACAGGCTGGAAAAAACAAGTCAGGTAGTTATGGGTAGTTCCTTGATAGTGCTGCAAAACACAGTCACTCAACTTTACAGTGAATTCTGTGAAATACTTTGAGACATCCTCCTATGTGAAAGGCACTGTATCAAACAACAACAACATAAATTTATATACTGCCCTTCATGCGGGAGACAATATCTTGGAATGCTTAACAGTGGTGGAGCCAGCTGTAAGGATTATTAATCATTATTTTTTATTGTTATTATTTATTTTATTGTTAAATTATTATAGGTACTGGTCTCAAGCAGCAGAGACCAACTGTATTGCCCTTTAGCTGTTCTACACAATATTCACATGGTTCAGTACATAAACCCCACTAACTTTACAACTAAATGCAGTAAATTCTGTACAGTTGCTCTGTTGAGTTTGTACCCAATCTGAAACGTGCTGCAGTTGCTTCAACAACTTGCATTTATATAGCACCTCGGAGCGCCGAATGTGACATGGTGTACACACCGACCTGGAAGGGGGGGGGGGGGAGGTGACCGAAGGCACCATCCAAGGGAAAGTCTTCAGGTGTGATTTGAAGACGAGCAAAGAGGGCAACAAAAAGGAGGAATTTATATTTTTTAAACAAAACACTTTAAATACAAGGCTGCACCCAACCAATCTGTGCCAGCCTTTGTATTCTCTGTGTGCCTGTCCAGGCAGAGTGAAGATCCCAGTTATGAAACGCTTTCAATCTTTCAGTGGTTCGGGTTTGTGTGTATAGTTACCTTTGCACCAGCATGGACAGCCTGCTCAAACATGGCAATGACGGCGTCTATGCTATCCGTGAGTTCCAGCAGCCGTGCTCGACAGATCCAATACTTGGCAAACTTCTCCCTATTGGGAATGTTCTCCAGCACCGCACACACCCCTTCAGTGGGATGGCCCTGACACAAATCAAAGCAAACCACAGAGATTTCAGTCACAACGAGGGACAGTATAGTCCAACAGACTATCGCTGGAGGAGGAACATCCCAACTATTAACTGACCTCCTGAGCTATAACTAAATAGGTCAGAGAAGGAAAGGATCCTTTGAGAGAAGTTACTGTTTCACCTCATTTAATTCCTTAAAATAAAAAAAATTGATAACTCAATCCACGACTATTCGTGGACATTGCTGTGCATTATTGCCGCGTTTCCCCCACAAAATGTAGTCAGTTACAGTATATTCTGTGAAGTGCTTTGAGACTCTTTGAAGACGTGATAAGACGCCATATCAAATGTAAGGATTATTATACATTGATAGATTTTTGGTAGGTCAGATTATTAAGGAATATCGGGAGAAAGTGGGAAATTGGAAGAATTAGTTGAAGTACAGATCAGCCATGATCTAATTAAATGGTGGAACAGGCTCGAAGGGCTGAACGGCCTCCTCCTGTTCCTATGTTCCTACTATTATTATAGTACTATTATTTACCTTGTCAAGTAGCTTCATACAGTTGTCCAGCATACAGTCTACCTGATCGGCCAGACTCCTCTGCTCTCCCTCCTCTTCAATGGCCTCCCAGAAGGAATCCTCCAGTTTCTTCTTCACAGATATGGATGCCTGCCTTAATGGAGTCGGCATGGCTGGCCGTTTGTATGTCTTCCCCTTGGCAGCTAACCACGCCTCAAGTTTTTTCCTGTAGGTGAAACATTAATGGCAAGATTCAGAGCGACGCAATACATTAACAAGTAAGGGAAACGAGAGCTTGTCAGCGCATTGAGAATCAGCATCAATTAAACAGGGAGAGGAGTTACTACTGTAATTTGCAGCACCAAAGACTCAATACCAACTCAAGTTCAGTGCTGCATTCATTTATAACAGTGCTGGGTCCTCAACACTGTACTCATAAACTCCTTCATGTGGCCAACACTATAACACTGAGCTCACGCCCACAAAACAGAGTCACTACTGCACTTTACAGTATATCCTGTGAAGCACTTTGGGACATCAGCCAATGTGAAAGCTCTGTAACAGAAGTAAAGATTATTCATTGTGTATTGTGGCCATCATTTGGATTAAGGTAGCCATAATAATAAAAAGGACCTGCTACATGAGCAGTAATAAACCTTGTTATTTCATCAAAAGCTCAGGCAACAAGGAATCACTTTCACACTTTTTTGACTAAATTGTTTTGTTCAGAACCAACCAACCAGTTTACAACCAGCTAGAGAGACATCGATATACTTTGAAGATCACAGTAACTGGTGGGACAGATGGTGAGTTTATTTTATCTCAATACTGACAACACATCAACTGTTCCCATTGTGCAGGAATTTTACAACTCATCAGATTAACAACTTGCACTTATATAGCACCCTCCATGCAGGGTAGCGTCTCAGAGTGCTTAACACTCCATCCCACAGTCCCTTCACCTTGCTCTCAACCTTGCCTCCTTCTAGGCCCATCTCAAGATCCTCCTCTTCGACTGTGCCTTTGGTAGCCCTCCTACCCCTGATCCCAATCCCTGACTGTCCAGCGTCTTAGGACGTCCTCCCGACGTGAAAGGCGCTGTGTAAATGTCATTTGTTGTTATTGTTGACACGGATTCAAGTTAGAACAACTTCAGTTTCTGGAATATCGTTATGGCTGAGTTTATTTAAAAACCATGAACTAGTCAGCTATAATGCTTCCCTTGTGTGGATGTACTGATTCCAAACCCTACCTTAAAATAAACAGTGCATTGCAACACAGCTCTGAACCACTCAGTCAGTACACATTACAGTGAATTAAATGCATTAAACTGCAATGATGTGGATAATCAAATTCAGGATAGAAAAATGAAAGTTACTTAAGTTGCGCAACAGTTTATGTAACATAAGAACATAAGAAATGCTAGACGAGAAAAGACCAAGATGCATCCAGTTTGCCTTCCACCTTCCTGGCGGTTGCATGCACATATGTCCCGAACTACCTAAGTACCATAGCCCATAATGTTATTTCCTAAAAGAAAACCATCTAATCAGTGTTTGAAAGAAGATACCAGAGCCTTGGGACGTCCTCCCGACATGAAAGGCACTTTACAAATGTAATTTTGTTGTTGAAAGAATCAACATTTCCTGCTTCAACCATCTCCCTGGGGAGCCTGTTCCACATGTTCACTAGTCGCTCAATGAAATAGTATTTGCGTACATTCATTCTGAATTTAACCCCCTTCAATCGCAGGTCGTGTCCTCTGGTTTTACTATTCCAGACAGTTGTAATAGCCTGTCATGATCATATTGTCTAACCCCTTCAGAATCTTAAAAACAGCAATCATGTCGCCTCTCAAATTTTTCTTTTCCAACGTGAACATGCCAAATTTACTTAGTCGTTTCTCATAGTCCAGTTCCTCCATTCCCACAATGGTTGCCCTCTGTATCTTCTCGATTTCTCTAATATGCTTTTTATACTGCGGCAACCAAACTACACACAATACTCTAAGTATGGTTTCACCAATGATTTATACAGCGGCAGGATTACCCCACTATTTTGGCTTGCTATTGATCTTTTGATACATCCCAACATCTGGTTTGCTTTATTCACTGCCACAGTAACCTAACACTTTAGCGAGCAAAAGCCCAAGTTACACCATCGGGAAATAGAATCAATAATGTTCACGGAACCATTTTACTTGATGAAAGATTTAAAAAGGATTACTTTCTGTCGTCCTGTTCTTGTAATAGCATGTTCCCATAGCTGGGGCCTCGGTAGACTTTGACAGGCTCCGTTGCTGCCCTTGTTGGCTTGGTTCTACTATGTTCCGCCCCAATTCTTCTCTTTACATTGGTTGCTGGAATTCCAATTAATCTCCACGCTGAGCTTAAATTAGGCCTTGCAACAGGTTTCAGCCCTTTCACTAGTCCGTTCCCAGTGGCAATGGCTGAGGCATTAGCCTTGGTTCCTGTGGCCTGTGCAGGTGGGCGAGCGCTCGTTCCTGCGGTGGCCTGCTTCGAGAACCTAGTGGATTTTCCAATTGCAGATTGCTGGGCATGCTCAGAGACTGTGGCGGTGTGCTTGGGAACTGTACCCTCCACTCCATTTCTGTTGGCTCTGGGAGCTACTCTGCCCACACCAATGGTGTGACTTGTATGGGAGGCCATGTTAGCTGGGCCAATAACTGTGTGTGCTTTTGCATTAGGGGCCACCTTACCTATGCCACTGTTTTTACTTGTATTTGCCCTGGGGGGCACTTTAGCTGTCGTAACAGCTCTGTGTGTATTTGCCCTGGGGGCCACCTTAGCTGTAGTAATGGTTCCATTTGTCTTTGACCTAGGGGGCACTTTAGTTATAGTAATGGTTCTGTGTGTATTTGCCCTGGGGGCCACCTTGACTGTGCCAATAACTCGGTTTGTATTTGCTGTGTCTATTCTGACTGTTTGTCGCCAGCTGCTCGTTCGGTTTGATCGGACCTGGTCGTTTTTTAACGCTTGTTGTTTTGGAGCCTTGAAGACAGCTGTGTTGTCCCAGCACCGAGCATTTCGGTTGCCTTGGTCAAGAGTTTGTGCAGCACCTTTCCGTTGCTTGGCTTGTTCACTTGATCTGTGAAGGAGGTTGTTGGTTTGTGTTGATGTGCCAGTCACAAGGCTAGAATCACACTGGCACTCTGCTGGTTGCTCACACTGCATGGCACCGATCTCTGTACCAGCCTGGGTTTCAGTGGACTCCACTGGAAATGAAGGGTCTTCAGTTTTGATGAGAGCGATGGCATTCCTTGCTTGAGGGAAAACAAGCACTGTAGGCTTTTCCTCAGCAGTTGACAGAGCTTTGGAAAGGGCTTTCTTGGTTGCAGTATTGCCCTGCTTCTGGGACTTGGCAGCAGTAGGCCGGGCATGATTAGTGGCTGTTTGGTTAGTTGTGCCTTTGAACTTCGGTTGTGGGGCAACAACGCCCTTCGGGTTACCTCTCTGAAACAGCAACAGAAAATACGGTCAGTGTTGTGCAAAATAATGAAACTTTTTTTTCAAATGGTCATCAGTTTATAATGCTTCTGATCAACTCTTCGGAAAATTAAACAGCAAATAAACAGCCACAAAAAACAGACCCAACCCATCAGGGATCAGTCTGCTGATGGAACTTTATTAATACACATTGACATTTGTACAGGGCCTTTCATTTCCGGACGTCATACCCAAGCAGGGGTTGGGAGCCGAAAGATGACTGAAGGTATGGTGAAAGAGGAAGGTCTTGAGACGTAGCGCGAAAGAGGTGAGAGAGGGGGTGAGTTAGAGGGACATCGGGATGGAGTTTAACCTGTCTATTTTAAAAGGTGAGTACGCATATCTTGTCAGAATCAGGCTCACCCATCATGTCACCAAGGTTAAACAGCCTTTGGACACTTATGAAAGGCCTGCTACACAAGTTAGCAACGTTGAGAGAGGGGGGAAAAAAAAACTCCTTACTTACCAATGCAGCCTTGGGTTGAGGTGCTGGAGGTTGGATCTTATGATTAGTCCTGTCCCCCAAATAATACCTAGTATACAGAGAGTGGGCGAGAGGAAAGCAAATATGAAAATAATGTGAAAGGCAGCTATTTTATTGGGTCCAAAATTTTACAAGTAAGAATGCTGAATTTTAGAGCTTTGCCTCTCAATTACATACCCAAATGGCAATCACAGTTTTATACAACCGACAAGAAACTGGACTGAGAGAGTAGGTGGGTTAGAGGCTTTTAGCTTCTCTGAACACCCCCCCACCCACCCCCCACAAACGAGAACTTCCAGCCGGGGGTCTACGGGTTCACTGCCTTTGAAGTTTATCAAAATTCCCATTTATTTTAAACTCAGCAAGTCTGAGTTCAAAGACAACTGAAATAAAATTGAAACACTTAAAGAAACAGCTTCAGGGCATTACAGATAGGAGAAAAAAAACCAGTCCGTCACACTACATATAAAGTGTTGCTTTAGGCATTAAGTTGACGATCTCATTTCAACACTAACAATCAAAACTTTATTATTCCAGTAATTTAAATTTAACACACAAATTGAAACCACAACTGCTTCTAGATATTAAAAACGTAAAACAAAAACCACCATCTACACCAGGAATTCAGACTCAGCAGACCAGAGTCATTTTATCCTAGAGGGAGAAAAACTAAACCGACCCCATTAAAAAAACGATTTAAGTAAAAGTTACAACAATAACTTGTGTTTATATAGAACCCTTCATGTGGGCTAGTGTCACGGAGCCATCAACAACAACAAAATTACATTTGTATAGCGCCTTTCACGTTGAGAGGACGTCCCACGGCGCTGGACAGACAGATTTATGGACTTAGTTAAAAAACGTATAAATAAAAAAATTGATTTTGGGTGAATATAACCGATTTGCTAAGGGATATTTTAGTTAATTAATAAGTAATTAAGGGAATAAAAATAAAAATCGCAGGTTATAAAATACTTTTTCTGGGTCTTTAGATAAAACATGTAAGTAAGGGATATATATGCTAGAGCAGTTAGACAGAAGCATTAACAATGTTGGGTTGTCTTCTCTTTGACCGTGCCTTCAGCTCCCCTCTCGACTCTCTACCCCCTCCTCGCTCCCTCCCTTCCCTCCCCCTGACCATTTCCCCCACTGCTCGGGTCCTGACCCAACTGTACAGTGCCTTGGGACGTCCTCCCGATGTGAAAGGCGCTCTATAAATGGAATCTTGTTGTTGTCTTTCTGGATCAATTAAACACCCATTGAGGCTGAAAAAAATCCCCCATTAGAAAAGGTGCACTGGGTTACAAAGAGAAACAGGCATCAAATATTGAAACTCTTGACAATCAGAGCCAATTGCAATAAACATGTTATGCTATAACGCAACACCTGAGGAGGATTTGTGCAGACAAACCTGGCGTTGGAGCCTTGGCTTTTCAATTTCCCTTTTCTCACAAGATATTCTTGAAGCTGCTGCCTTCTCTGTTCTGTTTCACAAAGAAAACCAAGAGAAAATGATAACACAGACCATTTGAATCTGTACCTACAACAGCACCGGAGCTTTCCAGAGGTGGGAGTCCTGTAGCATAGTGCTCAAAGCACTCATTTGCCTGGCAAGCGAGGGAGACCTGGCTTCAATTCCCAGGCGGAGCGAAACGTTGGGCAAGTTTCCTTACTCCGCACGCCTCTGTTTACCCAGCACTAAGTAGGAACCTGGTTTGTTAGTCGATTGGCGGATCGCTTTCCGGGTGTAACAATCCCTTCAGAGGAAATAATGATAATAATTTGGACACTCAAATTATTTGGACCGGTTGTGGGGTACGCAATTGGGCTGCTGCTGCGTTTCGACCACAAAGTGCGGTCAATTCCCTGTTGTACGGTGTATACGGTGGAGCGCTTTGAGACGTCTCGGAGACGTGATGAGGCGCCGGGGTCCAAGTGCAATAATTATGAGTGATCAACACTGCTCATGTTGGTAAACAAGTGGTTTTGACCAAAACCACTGGATCAACCGCAGAGTTTATTACCGGCGGCTCCTTATTCTCGGAGTTTCATAATAGTATTACAAATACTAAGTTTTTTGAGGCTGAGGGGGGGCGACAGACCTTGGGCTTGGTGGTGCCTGTGTGTGTGTGTGTGTGGGGGGGGTTTACAGGCCCAACAATACCCAGGGTGGGGGGGGGGGGGAGTGTGTGTGTGGGGGGGGGGGCGGGAGAAGGTCTGGGGGATGTCTGTGGGTGGGGGGGGATGTGGGGGGGGGGATGTCTGTGGGTGGGGGGGGGATGTCTGTGGGTGGGGGGGGGATGTCTGTGGGTGGGGGGGGATGTCTGTGGGTGTGGGGGGGGGATGTCTGTGGGTGGGGGGGGGATGTCTGTGGGTGGGGGGGGATGTCTGTGGGTGGGGGGGGATGTCTGTGGGTGGGGGGGGATGTCTGTGGGTGGGGGGGGGATGTCTGTGGGTGGGGGGCGATGTCTGTGGGTGGGGGGGATGTCTGTGGGTGGGGGGGGATGTCTGTGAGTGTGGGGGGGCGATGTCTGTGAGTGTGGGGGGGCGATGTCTGTGAGTGTGGGGGGGCGATGTCTGAGTGTGGGGGGGAGATGTCTGTGGGTGGGGGATGTCTGTGGGGGGGGGGATGTCTGTGGGTGGGGGGCGATGTCTGTGAGTGTGGGGGGGCGATGTCTGTGAGTGTGGGGTGGCGGCCTGAGCTGCTCCCCCGGTCGGTCGCAGCGCCCCGGAAGGTGCGAGAAGGGTGTCCGGCTGCGGCCTTTACCTGAGCTGCGAACCGGGTCCTGAAGTACCACCGGACGGTGAGGTGAGGCCGCCGCCGCCATCCGCTCGCGCTGAGAGCTTCTCCCCAACCGCCAAAACGATTCAAACCCGCCCGCGCGAGCAGCCCCCGGATTGGTCGCTCCCCGCGCCGCCTCCGCGAAACGCGCCCCTCGGATTGGTCGCTCCCCGCGCCACCTCCGCGGAACGCGCCCCCTGATTGGTCCATCAAACGCTCCTGCTCCTTCGTTGGTTTCTATGCCAAGCAGCTCCCTCCCCCCCCCCCCCGCATGAAACGCGCCCTCCGATTGGTCGCTGGCAGCCCCGCTACCTTCAAACTGACCAATCGCAGCGGTCATCTCATTTCGACCCCACCCGCCACGCTCGGGCGGCCCGGCGGCGCCTCCTAGCGGCTGCTCCCTCAACAACAACAACAACAGCAGCAACACACGACACGACGTTCACACGGCGCCTTTCCCGTCGGGAGGACGTTTCCGAGGCTCTGGGACAGTCAGGGGATTTTGAGGGGTGGAGGGCAGGGCAGGGAGGGAGGGTGTGGGGGGGGGTCAGAGGGTGACCGAAGGCGCGGTCAACAAGGAAGGACTTTGAGACGTGTTTCGAAGGAGGGCGCGAGGGAGGGAGTGGGGGGGGTGGAGCAGGCCGGAGCCCCCCCGAGCGGTTGATATGGGGTTGGCAGGTCACGAGTCCTCGGAAGGCGAGGACGAGGATTTTGGAGTGGGTGTGGGTCAACTGGCGGCCCGCGGGCCACATCCGGCCCCCTCCCTCCAATTTCATCAGGGCCCACCCTCTCCCTCCGTGACAAGACTTGGGCCCTCCTGATTGGCTCCTCTCCGCGCCGCCACACCTCAGGCACCGGCGGCCCCGTCATCCGTGGATGCATTCCACGCCTCACCAAGTCTTGTCTTGTTGACCTTCAACTGGAGAAAGTTCGCTCTCCTCTGGGACTTGATGTCCGACTTGATGTCTAGACATTCAGTGGCCCTGGGGTCCGCGGGTGGAGACACACAGACAGATAGAGTTGGGTATCAGCTACGTACGTATGGAAGTTGACCCCTCGTCTGCGGATGATGCCGCCAAGAGGGAGCATAGCACGTACGTGTTCGAAGAGGAGGGGACCAAGGACAGCGCCTTGAGGAACGCCGCACGAGACGGAGTGGGGGCTGGAAGGGAGACAGAGACAGTGGAGACGGAGTGGAAACGGTGCGAAAGGTAGGATTTGGACCCTTGAGAATCTTAAAAAAATGGTATCATATCGCCCCTAAAACCTCCCCTTTTCCAGCGTGAACATGCCTAGTTTATCGAATCGCTCAAGGTCCAGTTCCACCATCCCCTCAATCGTTCCGGTTGCCCTCCTCTGAATCCTCTCAATCGCTGCAATATCCCTGCGATTGATTGATTGATTTTTTTTTTTTAACTTCTTCAACGCAGAGCTCGGGAAACATCGCTTCGAACTCAGTAATAATTTATTTCAGAAATGTTTTAATGCAATAGTTTATCCCAACAAAACAAACAGAGTCAAACAATAAATAATAAAATATTAAATAATAAATAATAAATAGCAATAATTAACTGCCTTATCTATTTCAGAATTGTATTCATTCAATAATTTGTCCCAACAAAGTAAACCAGCTTGATCAATAAATAATAAATATTAAATAAAATAAATAACAATATTTACCATAGCAAGACCTTCAATAAATTAACAATAAATAGTTGGATCCCTGCACCATTTTCCAACAAAATAGATTTCACTACATATTAAATATATATATTCTTTAAAAGTGAAAAAGTGGCAAATATTACTAAACTTCTTGGTCAAATATAATCCTTCAGTCAACAATAAGCAAAAATGGTATGCAAATGGAGGAAGCTTATAATAATAATAATAATAACCTGCATTTGATATAGCACCTTATCACGTCTTCGAGACGTCTCTAAGCGCTTCACAGAATATACTGTAAATTGTAGTGACTGCATATTTTGTGGGCGAAACGCAGCAGCCAATCGCGCCCAGCAGTGTCCCACAAACAGTCGTGGATTGAATGACCAGGTTATTATTATTATTTTTGTTTGATCAGTTACTGACCATATATATATCTCCCTCCTAAAGTGCATTGAAAATCGTGTACTTAGTACATACATATGCTCTCTAAACCAACATTGCCTGATGTGGGTTTTTTGGGATTCTTGGACGCGGGTGTACTTCACATGGAGACTGTGAAGACAGTTATTCTGTTCTTCTCCTTCACCTCCATCTCCACGGTCTGTCTGTTTTTCTTTGATGTACTGATGTACCAACCACGGTGATTGGCAGACTCGAACTCGAAGGTCGATCCCATGTCCGATACTTTCTTGAAGAAAACGAATCGAAGTTGCTTGGTCGCGCTGCTGATGTCGTTCAGGTTATTATTCCATTCCTGGGTGGAAGGATGCAAAAGGCCACGTTTTAAGAACGACGACAAGAATAAGAACAACCCTCGCGTTTTTGACATTGGCGAGACGTCGCAAAGCGCCACGCGGGAGTTTACTTTGCGGGCAAACCTGGCAGGCAATTTATGTGCAGCAACAATAATAACCCTTGGATTTGGTATAGCATCTTATCATGTCGCTGAGACGTCTCAAAGCTCTTCACAGAATATACTGTAAGGTGTAGTGACTGTGTATTTTGTGGGCGAAACGCAGGAGCCAATTGCGCACGGCAGTCATGGATTGAGTGGACTGAGTGGCTAACAAGTGGGTTCCTACTTATTGCTCGGTAAACAGAGGCACGTGTGCGGAGGAAGGAAACTTGCCTAAGGTTTTGCCCCGACCCGTCCGGGAATCAAACCCGAGTCCTCTCGCTTGAGAGTCGAGCGCGCTAACCACTAAGCTACTGGCCTTCACAGTGAACGCAAACAAGTGTGAACAACCGTGAATGAGTGTGAACGAGTGTGAACGCTTACCTCCACTTGTAGCTCAGGGTTAGCGTGAGGCTTGGTACATGATAGGAACATGTTCTTGCCTCTGATTCCCAGGACCACTGGCTGGTAGTCACCTGAAAATGTCCTATAGTGACGGATGTCCAGGGTCACTATAAATCACAAAAAGAGAGTGTTACACAGCAGTCAGGAGCAAGAGATAGCTTTAAACATGGGAGAGTTTTCCCTCGACACCCCATAATAATAATAATGATCCTTGCATTTGATATAGCACCGTATCACATCTTCGAGACGTTTCAAAGCGCTTCACAGAACACACTGTAGCACAGCAGCCAATTGCGCACAGCACTGTCCCGCAAATAGTTGTGGGTGGAGTGACCAAATTATTATTATTGTTATATTTTTTCTTTGAAGAGATTATTACACCCGGGAAAAGCAATTGACTAACAAACGGGTTTCTATTTACTGCTAGGCAAACAGAGGCATGTGCATGGAATAAGGAAACTTGCCTAAGGTTTTGCCCCGCCTGGCCCGGGCATAGAACCCAGGTCCTCTTGCTTGCGAGGCGAGACCTCTAAACCACTAACTAAGCTGCAGGATATAGCCGGAGCTAAAAGTACGCTATCATCAAGTACAACAGGAAAAGAGCAAACGGAACGTACCTTCTTGTTCAGTTGTTTGTAGGAAGAGAGCGATGAGCTTGCTGCTGGGTGAGAGGACCAGACATTTATCCTCGTAGTCTCTCACCTTCCGAGACTCGCTCTTCCAAAATCTATAGGAGCTGTTGGATCTCGTTGAGTGATCGTAGCTTATCCTGGTGATGGCCTCTACAGGAAGAACAGAGACTGTTATTCACAGGGGGAACCACTACAACAACAACAACTTGCATTTATATTGCCCCCTTCACTCGGGGTAGCCTCCTGGAGCACTTCCCTATATAGGAACAGGAGGAGGCCATTCAGCCCCTCGAGCCTGTTCCTCCATTCTATAAGATCTTGGCTGATCTGTACCTCAACTCCAATTACAACAACTAAATTACATTTGTAAAAGGCCTTTCACACCGGGAGGACGTCCCAAGGCACTGGACAGACAGAGGGGGGGAAGCAGGGAGATCGAAAGCACGGTTGAAGAAGAGGAGGATCTTGAGATGGGTCTTGAAGGTGGCGAGGGAGGGGGCGAGGCAGTGGGACTGCGGGATGGCGTTCCAGAGGGTGAGGGGTAGAGTGGCGGAAGGCCTGCTCGCCAATAATGTGGCGAGTGAGGCCTTTGCCCCATATCCCTTTGATACCCTGACCTAACAACATCTATTCACCTCAGTCTGATCAGTGTGAATGGATCCAGCCATAATCCACAGCCCTTTGGGGGAGAGAGAAGGTTCAAGATTCCCACTCGCTTTTCTGTGAAAAACTACCCCTGATTTCACTCCTAACTGGCCCGGCGCTAATGTTAAGATGATTGTTCCAGCTCTCATCCCCTCTGGTTAGAGGGAGTTAAGAGAGAGGGAAGTCCCTGCTGCCAGCACGATTAACAAAGCAAAGAGTAAATCCTTACCCTCGATCATGTGATTGAAGCCCAGTAGATCGCTGTCCTTGAAGGTGGCGTTAGTCATCTTCTTGAACTTCTCCACGGCTAGGACCAGAGTGAAGACTTTCTGGAGGGAGCGAGCCGGCTTGCTGTTCACGGAGGCTGAGCCAGGAACCTCGAGCATCTTCAATTGATAGCTTTCCATCTCGGGGCTGCTGTCGGCTACAGCCACGGACGCCTCTCCCGAGGGGTTCTGAAACATGAGCCACACGGTCAGATCGGGTCCTTCGCCACAGACACAAGCCCCTCACAAACTGCCCCCCACCTTCCCAACTCGTCCCATTTTACTTCTCAAATTCTTTATAATTATCAATAATAATAATCTTTGTATTTGATATAGTGCCGCCGTATCACGTTGTCGAGACGTCTCAAAGCGCTTCACGGGATGCACTGTAAGGTGTAGTGACTGTGTGTTTTATGGGTGAAACGCGGCAGCCAATTGCGCACAGCAGTGTCCCACAAACAGTCGTGGATTGAGTGATTAGTTTTATTTGGGGGATTGTTGGCCAGAATACCAGGAGAGAGAGAGACAAACTCCCTTCTCTTTTCGAATAGCTCCACCTGATCAAACAGGCACATCCAGGGAGTGAGTGAGGTTTAAAGTCTCATCTGAAGGGCGGCGTCTCTAACAATGTGACACCAACCGAGCCAGGCTGACAGCTAAACACATCCCGAGGATCTCACAAACTGTGTTTGACGTGATCTTCAACGTCCCACCGTTATCAGCCGTGAACAAACAAAATCTTAAGCTGTACGACCAGTGGATGACACTGAGGTGTTGGGTCTTACCTTGATCACAAAGTTAGAAGAGATGGACTTGTGAGTGGAGGTGAGGTCAATTGGACTCCTAGACAGCGAGAGAGAGAGAGAGAGAGAGTTCCAATTAGTTAAGCCACTGTATGTACCTCAGTTATTCTGCAACAACACATGGATTCTTAAAAAGGGTTGGTTAGTGCAGTTCATTTTTGATGAGACCCAACAAATGCATTTTTGCTTTAAGTAGCAAAACGGAACTCCTCTCCACCCCAACTGCAGTGTAGGACCTGAAAGCGCGGCCGCTGATGGTGGAGCGGAGGGTACGAGGGACAAGCAGGAGGCCAGAGCCAGCCGATCGGAGGCAGTGGCAGGGGGGAAAGCAAATCGGAGTGGTAGGACGCAAAGGGATTTATTTGTAGGCGAGTGAGAGGATCTTGAAATCGATGCGTTCAGTGACAGGGAGCCAGTGGACTGGGGTGATAATAAAAAATAACAACCCTTGCATTTGATATAGCACCTTATCACGTCTTCGAGATGTCTCACTAAAGCACTTCACAGAACATACTGTAAAATGTAGTGACTGTGTACTTTGTGGCGGCCAATTGTGCATAGCAGCGTCCCCACAAACAGTGGTGCGTTGAGTGACCAAATGATTATTATTAGAGTGTGGAATCTAGTGCGGGTGAGAATACGGGCGACGGAGTCTCAATGTAAAACAAAAGCTTACCTGACAGTTTCACTCCCGGCATTGGGTTTCACTGATACTGAGCTGCCTTCAGTCCTCATTCTGGTTGTAACTTGACTGCTTTGCTCGGAGTCGATTCCAAATGTGCTATTCGGTTTGGAAGCTGTTGTGTACTGACTGCCTGCTGAGTGCCTCCCCATTTATACCCTTGTAGAGACGGAATTTCCTGTGTGGGCGGCACGTTTCAGCCTGCCTGGGAAATTCACAGATTGCATATTTACCGCTATTTAACTCTCTGCCAAGTATCTTGATTTTTCTGTGCATAATTCCTCTGCACATCGGCGCTCGCTTCAAGTGATGATGATGATAATAATAACTCTTGCATTTGATGTAGTAGCGCCTTATCACGTCGTTTCAAGGAATATTTTGTAAAGTGGAATGACTGCGATAAGTTAAGGATATCCTTCCTGCTATCACACAATACAATAGATACAATGAGGAATAAAATTATAATATACAATAATAATGATATAATAGTAGAGTGATTATATATTAGTAGTAATGATCCTTGCATTTTATACAGTGCCCTATCAGGTCTTTGAGATGTCTCAAAGCGCTTCACAGGATACACTGTAAAGTATAGTGACTGTATTTTGTGGGAGAAACACGGCAGCCAGTTTGCACACAGCAGTATCCCATAAACAGTCGTGGAGTGAGTGACCAAATTTTATCTGGGGGATTGTCGGCCAGGACACAGAGAGAGAGAGAGAGAAGAGAAACTTACTTCTCTTTTTGAATGGCAACGTGGGAGATTTTTTAACATCCACCTGAACATGCACAGGTGGGGAGCTCGGGTTAATGTCTCATCCGAAGAAGAGCTTATAGCGGCTTTCACATCAGGAGATGTCTCAAAGCACTTCACAATATATACCGTAAAGTGCAGTGGCCGTGTGCAATTGGCTGCCACGTTTGCTTACAAAATACACAGTCACTACACTGCGCAGTAAAATCCTGTGAAGCGTTTTGAGATGTCTCAACAACGCGATAAGGTGCTGTATCAAATACAAGGATTATTATTATTATGTATTATATTATTATTTGCTGTCAAGTGTAATGACTGTGTGTTTTGTGGGGGAACGAGATAGCCAATTTGCGCGCAGTGACACATCCCCCAAACACCTATTATTATTAGTAAAGACCACAGTCGATCGCCCCAGAACCTTTTCTTCTCCAGGGTGAGACTTATCGGCTCCTCCTGTTATTATTGTGTTCCGTCTATCATAACCTTTGATCTCAGTCACCACGTAGTGGAAAATTAAACTATGCAATAGTAACTCAACGCTTGTGTTGTGCTCTCAATGAATTATGCAAACCGTGATTATGCAAGATGGAGTTGAATATTTTCAAGCTAAAATGTGGAGCAGCTGGGAGATTGTCTTACGAAACTCCATTTAAGTTGGCAATCCCACACCCATTCAGCCCTGCAATGTTACATGCCTCAGCGTTGATTCATCAGCTACTGATCTCAATTGTTAACAAGTTTCCTTGCGCGTGTGTGTGTGTGTGTGTGTGTGTGTGTGTGTTTGTCTTCTTCACCAATTCCCATAGAAGGTGACTGAGTGGGGACCTTATATTAATAATAATAATCCTTGCATCTGATACAGCGCCTAATCACGTCTTCGTGACGTCTCAAAGCACTTCACAGGATACACTGTAAAGTGAATTGACTGTGTATTTCGTGGAAGAAATTGTGCACAGCAGTGTCCCCACAAAAAGTCGTGGCATAAATATTATTATTTTCAAGGGATTATTACCTCCAGAAAAACGATCCGCCAATCGACTAACAACCCGGTTCCTACTTACTGCTAGGTAAACAGAAGTGTGTGTGTGTGTGTGTGTGTGTGTGGAGTTAGGGAGCTTGTGTAAGGTTTTGTCCTGCCTGGATATTGAATTGAACCCCAGTCCTCTGGCTTGCGAGGCGAGCACGGTAATCACTATACATGCAGTGGGGTTGTGGCTGGTAAACAGGAGGCGGGGAGGGAGTGGGACTGGAGCCAGGGCCTGATGTAGGGAAATCACCTTATCCTTTGTCCTGAACTGCCTGACACTTCCACGTAGCAGAGCGATGAAGCAACACACCTTCAGCAAGAGGAGAGCGTTCTCTCACCCGGAAACCGGTTGTGACTCGATTGACGGATCGCCTTTCTGAGGGCAATAATCCCTTCGGAATAAACAATCTAATTTGTCACTCAACCCACGGCTGTTTGTGGGACGCTGCTGTGCGCCACGTTTCGCCCACAAAATATACAATCGGTCCACTTTGAAGTGTGTCCCATGGCGCGCTTTGAGACGTGATAAGGCGCTACGTCAAATGCGACCAGTATTATTACATTGATCTACAAATTGAATACGGAAGCATGTGGCAATATCAAACACACACCGTTCATATAGTGATCAAGGTGGGGACTGGAAGCGTCGAAAAACTATGATTGCAACGTCCCACACAGTTCCTTTGTTCTTTCAGGTTTTAAGAAGTTTCCCCGCATGTGTTGGTCATTTGTTCCTTTTAGTGAGATAAACATCTCACTCATTTCCCCTATTTGTCCTCGTCTACCTAGTTTTGTGGTGGGCCAGCCTGGCTCAGTGGGTAGCGGAAGGTAGCGTGTAGTGGACTCAGAAGGTTGTGGGTTCAAGTCTCTGTGTCGTTACTTGGAATCACACACGGGGCGGTGGGGAAGCAGTTTCACAGAATATACCCTAAGTGAATTTTTGTGGGCACAACGTGGCATCCGATTGCGTCTGAGAGTGTCGCACAGCACATGGAAGGGACAGGTGGGACAAGATGAATTGGAGGTGGCGGGGTGGGGGTAGATGAAGGGCGCTGTGTAAATGCAAGTTGTTGTATTAGATTAAAGGAAATATTTAAATTCCACTTCTCCGTTTTCTCCCCAAATAATTATTTCCATCCCTGTGACGGAGTAAGACGCAGATGTAGGGGGCAGATGTAACATTTTGGATTACATTTTTTATCTTCAACTATTTATAGTTTCATGAAATCCTTGATTACAGTATAATGGACTGCCCTTACTCTCGGGCCGAGTGAGTACATTTCCTGCCTGTGACTCATGGTACAGTTTACAGATCGGGAGGATTTTCAGGGCCTGGGTGAGAGAATGACAGGATGTGACTGACACAATCGGGAGAAAGGACAGAGTTGCACAGTACAAGAACACAAAGATTTGTTGGCAAAAAAAGACCAATCCAGTTCGCCTTCCACCATCCTGGCAGTCGCTTGACATGTCGTGTCCCAAATTAAACCCAGATATTATTTCCTAACAGAAATCTATCTCATTTGTTCTCGAGACAAACAACATTTTCTGCTTCCACCGTCTGTCTCCCTAGCGAGCCTGTTCCATACGTTTACTGCTCACTCACTGAAGTAGTGTCACCGCAGATTTGTTTTGAATTTACGCTCCCGTCAACCGCAGGCCGTGTCCTCTGGTTCTACTGTTCAGTACAGGATAAAACAGCTTATGATCGTGGAATATTTATTCCCTTCAGGATCTTAAAAACTGCTGATAACTCGTCACTGCGAGGGAAAGGGACTCACTGTCGAGTTATCCAGAGCTGCGAGTTAGGCACAAGTATAAATACATAATAATCATAATAATCCTTGCATTTGATGTAGCACCTTATCACGTCTTCGAGACGTCTCAAAGTGCTTCACGGGATATGCTGCAAAGTGTAGTGACTGTTCATTTTCTGGGCAAAATATGGCAGCCAATTTGCGCACAGCTGTGTACCACAAACAGTCGTGGATTGAGCGACAGGAGAGGGGAATAGGGTAGTGTAGGAGAGGGGAATAGAGGGGTGTGGAAGAGGGGAGTAGAGGGGTGTGGGAGAAGGGAGAGAGGGGAGTGGGAGAGAGGAATAGAAGAGGAAATAGAAGGGCGTAGGAGAGGGGAATAGAAGGATGTGGGAGAGGGGAGTAGGAAGAGTGGGGGCTAGTATGGAGTATAAACACAGGCAGTGTCTAGTTGGGGTGAACAATAATAATCCTTATATTTGACCTATTTCCGTGATTTATGTCATTCTGTGTAACGTGGCTCTGTACTGCCTTATAACAATAATTCGGTTTCTCACAGCCTGCAGCTGTGTGAGTCAGTGTGTTTCAGCCTTACCTCTCTGCTCGCAGAAATTCACTCTCACCTCAGTTTCAACCTGCTTTACCACGACTCGTGTGTCAGCCCGGCCCAGTGGATGGCACCTCTCGCCTCCGAATCGGAAGGTTGCGTGGGAACAAGGCCCCACGTCGGGATTTGGAATTTGTGTATTTTGCGGGCGAAATGCATCAGCCAATTTGTGCGCAGCAAAGTGCCACCAAACACGTATCAAACCTAAGGATTATTATTTATTATTATTATGAAGCTCGGGGCCAGTTTTATCTGGGGATTGTTGGTCAGGACGGCCCTCACCGTTGCAAATATTCTTTGAATTTGATTTTGCCTTTCGTGTTTTTAACGGGAAAGGAATAGTTTCATTGTGGTCTCTACCTTAGTCATTCAGTGCCCACTTCCTGGCCTGGGTAAGACATCCTGTGTGCCTGGGTATGCGGTTGCGACATTTCTATCATGAACACAATTTTCCCCTCTCTTTCCCTCCCACCTTGCACTGACTTTAACCCATCCGGGGAACTGGAGAGGGAATTTACACACCCTCACACTCACACATGCTCACAAACACACTCACTCACATTCACACTTTCACACACACACTTACACAGCCACAGACACTCTCACACACACAAATTCTCACATACAAACCCTCACATGGTCACAGACACTCTCATACGTTGACAGACACTCTCTCGCACTCACGGTCAGTAAGCATTGTGAAGTGTTGACCGAGGTGTCCCATTTTTTGTGGTCGCTGAGAGGCGATGGCAGGGTGGGAGTGGGGTGGGGTGCGTTGGCTGGAAGTGATTGTGAAGGTGCTGAGAGCAGAGCTGCAGGAACCATCAGTACATTGACCAACAGTTGAAGCCACGTAAATGTGTGTTTCCTGTGACAGGAATTGGTGTGGGTTAGCAGACATCCTGTCATTTTACACTTGTCACAAACCCGGGGATGGAACTCCCGTCAATAACAACAACAACCACTTGCATTCACATGGGATAGCGTCTCAGAGCACTTAGATTAATTAGATATAATACAACAACAACAACAAGATTACATTTGTATAGCGCCTTTAATTAAACATCAAACTTAATCAAGTCCTCGCAATATGAAAGGCTCTATGTATATCAATGTACATTTTGTATTTATATATTACTTAATTTTGGATCAAACACAAAGAGTTGTCATTCTGTCCTTACGTTTGACACAGTGCCTTTCAAGTCAGGAGGGCATCTTAAAACGCCTCACAGGATTTGCTCTAAAATGTAGTGACTGTGTGCTTTGTAGGTGAACGTGGCAGCCAAATTGCGCACCAAGACATCCCCGCAAACAGCCGTGAAGCGAGCGAGCAATTTTATCTGGGGTGCTGTCAGATAGGACATCAGGTGGTGGGGGTGGGGGGAGAGAGAGGGAAACTCCCTTCTCTTTTCCAACGGCGCCATGGGTTATGTTTAACATCCACCTGAAGGGGAACAGTCGGGGAGTGATTGAATGTCTCATCCAAAGGACTGTGCCTCTGGCAATGTGGCGCTCCTCCCTCTCTCTCTCTCTCTGTCTCTTTCACTCTCCCCCCAGTGTTGCGCTGGAGTGTCAGCCTGGATTGTGAGGCCCTGACATGTGGAGCGGGCGGGTGGCGGGGAGGGAGGGAGGGAGGCTTGAACCCACAACCTTGGAGTCTGAGCCGCAGGCTGGGCTCAACCTGTCAAGGCCTGAAAATAGGTGATTCTTATTTTTTTTTAAAAAAAAACCTCTTTGTTAGAAAAGGAAGTCACTTGAAAAAAAAACACAGACGGTGCAATCGTACTCAGTTTGGTTAGACCCACGCAGTTTCCTGTATCAGATCTTATCAGTGACTGGATGTCATTGGCGAGAGATGCAATGATGACAGTGGGGTGATATATGGATTATTAAGCGGTCACTGTCGAGGCCTGTAGCTCAGCGGTTAGAGCACTCGCCTCGCAAGCGAGAGGACCTGGATTCAATTCCCGGGCAGGGTGAAACCTTAGGCAAGTTTCCTTACTCCACAAACAAGCCAGTCTCGATTCACCGAGCAGGAAATCGGAACCCAGTTGTTAAGTCGATTGGCGGATCGCTTTTCCGGGGTTAATAATCCCTTCAAATAAATACAATAAAGTAATAATAATAATAGGGTCACTCAATCCACAGCTGTCTGTCGGACACTGCTGCGCGCAAATGGCTGCCGTGTTTCGGCCACAGAACACACGGTCACTCCACTGTACAGTGTTGTGCGGTGAAGCGCTTTGAGACATCTCGACGACATGATGAGGCGCTGTATTAAATGCAAGGATTATTATGATTTATCCAAAGTGGGGTAATGGGGGGGTCACTGTCAATCCTAGAACGAGGGAGGGAGACTGAAAAGTTACATTGCATTCTCTACCTCTCTCTCTCTTTCCCTCTTTCTCTCTCTCTCACCCTCTCTCTCTCTCTCTCTCTCTCTCTCTCGCAATCTCCCTTCCAAAGCCAAATCAACCTTTCCTGCCCGAGTGAGGTTACCAAGAGACTTTTGTTTCACATTGCCTCCCTCCCTGCCTCCTGTCTGCCTGTCTATTCAGTCACTCAGAAACCTCCCACTGCCTCTGAGTTCTGAGTGTGCGGAAGGAAGTGAACTTGCAGCAACTCGCACAAGAGGCTGTGTCAAACTGGATTTGCTTGACGGAGCAAAAATTTTTCTGTGTGTGTGTGTGTGTGTGTGTGTTGTTAAAAAAAACGACTGTTTAATTCGGGAGAAAGGGGGAGGTGTGTGTGTGGAGAGCGAGACTGAGCCAAGGGATTTTGGAGTGGTTTTGGTACACGCGGAAACAAGCCGGTGAGTTTAGATTTTGTTTAGCCAAGTCTCTGACTCTCTGTCTCTCTCCTCGCCCCGCGGGTGGATGGGACAGGCTGCTGTACACACACAGACACACACACACACACACACACAAACACTACTGCCCATAATTACACTGCGTGTTCATGTTCAGCCCTCACTCACACTGAGTCATTCCCTGCCCATCACACCCCCAGGGAAGAGGTGCTGAGAGAGCGTGGAGAGAGGCAATGATGCTGACACGCACACACACACACACACACACACACACACGGAAATACACACGCATACACACACATACATACACAGATACACACACACACAGATATACACACGCACACACAGATTAAGAGATGATCCCACACCCAGATGCAGACACACACAAATACACTTACACACACATACACACAGAAACACTTACACACGCAGACACACAGGTAATACACACACACGGGCAAACAATTCACACAAATACACACACATAGACACACACACACACACATACACGCATAGACAAGCCAAGGTCGGGGTCATCATCAGGTTCAGGATGAGGTCAAGATTGTGGTGGAGCTGAATTAGGCACAAGGTGACGTGTTTGGCAACGGAAAGTGGGAATCGAGACCCCCCCATCCCTCTGTGCCGGTCTCTAGTCCTGGTTCCTGAGCCAGGAGGGGCCGCAGTGTCCCACTGTTGATGACAGCACAGCCCGGCCCGGCTCATGGGCAGGACCTGGAAAGGCCAATCAGTCACTTGGGGCAGGGAATCGTCCCGAAACCTTAGGCAAGTTTCCTTACTCCCCACACGCACACACGCCTCTGTTTACCTAGCTTGTTAGTCGATTGGCGGATTGCTTTCCGGCGGTAATAATTCCTCAAAAAAAATATGGTCACTCAATCCACTGCTGTTTGTGGGACACTGCTGTGCGCAATTGGCTGCCACGTTTCTCCCGTTAAAAGAAATGCACAGTCCATTCACTTTACAGCACATAATAGTAATATAATAATCCTTGCATTTGATATAGTGCCTTATTGGTCTTCGAGACGTCTCAAAGCGCTTCGCAGAACTAACTGTATATTTTGTGGGCGAACCATGGCAGCCAAGTGCGTACACCATATCCTGTGAAGACGGATTATTCTATAATATTATTTCACTGAAGTTAGTCCCCTGAGTCTGGCTGTGATCAGCGGATGACAGAGTTTAACATTAGCACGCACGTCTAGAAACCTCTAAGGCAGAGGCTGTGGCTGAGGCAGTCTATCCGCCTTGTCTGTGTGTTGTCTCGTTGCAAATCCCCTGTAGCTACCTGCACAGAGGACGACACAGGATGTCTTTGCTGTCAACGTCAACCACTCACATCCTGCCGCACATCACTAACCTGCCATCTCCCTCCTCAGTCTCCTATCAAGCACACAAAGCAGGCAGGCCTGACGCTTTATAATAATAATTTAATAGTAATCCCTGTAGCTCAAGAGCGCTCGCCTCGCAAGCGAGAGGACCTGGGTTATGGTTCCCGGCCGGGCAGGGCGAAACCTTAGCCAAGTTTCCTAACTCCCACGCACACGCCTCGGTTTACTTGGCAGTAATTTAAGAACCCAGCAGATCACTTTCTGGGGATAATAATTCCTTCAAAAAATAAATAATAATAATTTGGTCACTCAATCCACGGCTGTTTGTGGGACACTGCTGCGTTTCGCCCACAAAATACACAGTCACTGCACTTTACAGTATAACCTGTGAAGCGCTTTGAGATGTATCGAAGACGTGATAAGATGCTATATCACTTGCAAAGATTATTATTATTTATTAAATCCCTGAATGTCCAGTGCCTTGGGACATCCTCCAGACGTGAATGGCACTGTGTAAATGTTAGTTAGTTTGATGCTCATTCTGGATGCTATCTGTCAGGTCGCCATGAAGATCCACTGACCATCACCCCCTGTCACTCAGCAACACCTTGCGGAGGATTCGGAGTTCCAGAAAGTTCCAGCTCCAAGCCGGGGATGGATATCTGGGACGTGCTGAATGTCTCTGATCCCGAGGACCTGAAAGACAGCGAGGAGAGTCTCAGTGAGGAGATCCAGGGCTTCCTGCCGGCATCACATCCACAGGCTGGGAGCTCCAGTCACCTCTTCACAACGACACTGTTCCCCATCCTCAACACCAACTCAAGCCCTAATCCCATCCTCAACACCAGCCCTAACTCCATCTTCAACCCCATCCCCAACACCAACACCATCCTCAACCCCAGCCCCAACCCCATCCTCAACCCCAGCCCCAACCCCATCCTCAACCCCAGTCCCATTCTCAACACCAACCCCAGCCCTAACCCCATCTTCAACCCCATTCTCAACCTAACCCCCAGCTCTATTCTCTTCCCCATCTTCAACCCAAACCCCTATCCCTTTCCCAACTCTAACCCCAACCCAGAGGAGGACAACACAGATCCAAGGGAGGATGGGATTGACCCAGGGGAGGACTGGACAAACCCAGGGGTAGTTGGGATTGACTCACAGGAAATTTGGATAGAGCCAGGGGGAGGTGGGATAGAGTCAGATGGAGCTGGGACAGAGCCAGAGGTAGATGGGACAGAGCCAGAGGGAGATGGGACAGAGCCAGAGGGAGATGGGACAGAGCCAGAGGGAGATGGGACAGAGCTAGAGGGAGATGGGATAGAGCTAGAGGGCGATGGGACAGAGTCAGGGGAAGATGGGATAGAGTCAGGGGAAGATGGGATAGAGCCAGGCAGAGCTGGGGTTGACTCATGGGTGAATGAGATTGACCTAGAGGAGGTCGGTGTTGACTCGGGAGAGGAGGGGACTGAGCTGGACATCTCGTGGCTAGAGGCCAGACCAGATGACAGTCACAATCCCAACTCAATCCCCACAAGCTCCCCCTCGCCCTCGTCCTCACACAGCATCACAACCCCCCAGCTCTGGCAAAGCCCGGCCTACAGCCTTGAGGATGAGCATGAACACACACCTGCTGACACGCAAGTCAGGGGAGAAGGGGAGAAGGAGAGCTCGGGGGGCTCCAGCCCGCTGGAGAGCGACGAGGAGGGCTGCCACTGGGTGCAGGCGGTCCTGTTGACCAGAGGCGGCCAGGCTTCGGACGACCGCTCCCCGGAAGATTCCAGAAGACTTGCTGGCAACCCGGAGTGGGCCATCACGGACACCAGAAACCCAAGCTCGTCCACAGAGGAGAGCGAGGAGGAGGAGAAGGGGGGGGTGGGGAGATGGACGGAGGCGGGTTCAAGCCCCATGGACAGCTCCTCTGAGCCGGGAACGCTGCCCAGACACATGGTGTTGGAGGTCCCGGACACGCCGTTCCTGCATCAGGACGTGTGGCAGCAGAACCAGGCCTTCGTCCCCGTCGCCACTCCCGGGACCAGGCAGGACCAGGGCAGAGCCGAGCTCAGAGGCTGCCCTGAACTGATGTTGATCACAGCTACGGCTGTGACTGGGCTCTTCACCCCTGAGGAGGGTGGCGCAGCTAGAGAGGTCCCACCCGGCCAGCAGCCAGAGAGCGGTCTCACTCCAACCCTCTCCTGGGGACAAGTCTCTGGGCAACAGGACAGGGAACCAGCACACAGCGAGGTAAGGGCTTCCCCCCCCCCCTCTCTCTCTCTCTCTCTCTTTCCGTGACATTTACACGACGCGTATCACGTCAGCAGGACGTCCCAAGGCCCTGGACAGTCATTGACCTGGACCCGAGCTGGTGGTCAGGATCTGGAGGGTGGCCGAAGGCACAGTTGAAGATGAGGGTCTTGAGACGAGCCTTGAAGGAGGCGAGGGAAATGTGGGATGGAATTCCAGAGGGTGGGGGGCAGAGATACTGAAGGCTCGACCACCAATGGTCAACAACAACTTGTATTTACACCGTCCCTCACACAGAGTGGTGGTGGAGCATGACACCGAGCCGGGGGAGGGGATCGGTTAGTACGGGTTTAGGTTAGGCTAACAAGTGCCTGGAGGTGTTTATCCGGGCACCGTTTGAGTCATCGAAACAGAAGAAGGTGGTTAAGTCTGTTTATTCGAAGGATTTTCAGGAATGCTCAGTTTAAACAAGAAATTAGTCAGCTCACACCAGGAAAATTCCTGATACGTTTTCCATTGCTTCGAATATATCGGGAACTATAGGCCTGGAGCGTTGAAACAAAAACAATGGCACTGTAGGTTTCAGCCAGGCCCAGTCATTCGCTTGCGCTCTCACCTCTCTGAGTCAGATGGTTGCGGGTTCAAGTTCCACGTTGGGTATTCTGACTTCACAGTCCAAGCTGACGCTGGGGGGAGAGAGAGAGAGAGTGAGAGCACGTGAGCGCCCCATTGTCGGATGAGACGTCAAACCTCACTCACTCCCCGTCTGTGCCCTGTTCGGGCAGGTGTTAAAGATCTTCCCCCGCGACGCTGTCCGGAAAAAGAGAAGGGAGTTCCTCTCCCCCCCCCCCCCATTAAAATCGCTCGCTCACTTCAGGTCGGTCGGTCCACAAAGCACAACACAGTCACTACACGTTGCAGAGGGGGACAGAGGACGGAGTTTTGAGTTGAGGAGGGAGCGAAGGGAGTTGATGTTGGAGAAATGTTTCCCAGTTATAAGTAACTCGCTGTGTTTCTATCTGAGAAGTTGGCAGCGCAGAGGTGGGAGGTGGAGAGGACGACAGCAGAGGAACTGCCCATCTGCAGCTCGCACATGACGGACATCACGACCGAGAGTAACCAGGGGGCCTGGGAACCCCCCTCCCCCCACCGGGCACCAAGCCCGCAGCCTAGCGACCCCGAGACCCTCGGTCTGCCTGCGGGGGTGGCGGTGACACTCCGGGAGGAGTCTGCGGAGGAGGAGAGCGGAGTCTCTTTGGCGGACATGCAGCCCCCGGCTGAGACAGTGACTGAACAGGAGTTGGTCACAGAGCGTGGAGAGAGCACGTACATGCCAGGACCATGCACACCCATGTAAGAACACATCGTTAGCTCATTGCAGACTTAACCCTTCACCTCCCACCCTCACAAATCCCAGGAGATGTTAACCCCGCAAGCCAAAGCCCCGATTAACGGGCAGGGTGGTCCTAGCTGAACAAGCAGTGAGCAAGCTCCGTGGGTTTAGATGGTTAGACTCCAGCAGTTACCCCAACGCACACTCTGGGCTTCCCCCCCCCCCCCCCACCACCAAGAATAATACCTTCCGGAATTAGGCAAGCAGGATGTCTCCCTCCAGGGAGAGAGTGAGAGCAAGTGAGCATTCCATTCTCGTCACAGGAATTTCCACCTGTGTAGGTGGGACACGTGGAATTCTCAATCAGGCTGGCCAAATAATAATAATAATAATAATAATCGTTGCATTTGATCCAGTGCCTTATCATGTTGCTGAGCCGTCCAAAAGCATTTCGCAGAATACACTGTAAAGTGTAGTACTGTATTTTGTGGGCGAAATGCGACAGCCATTTGTGCACAGCAGCGTCCCCACAAACAGTCGTGAATTGAGTGATGGAATTATTTTTTTACTTCCGGAAAGCGATCCGCCAATCAACTAACAAGCGGGATGCTACTTACTGCTAAGTAAACATAGGCATATGTTTGTGCGTATGTGTGTGTGTGTGTGTGGGTGGGGGGGTAAGGAAACTTGCCTATGTTTTGCCCTGTCCCAGCCAGGAATCAAGATGAACCCGGATCCTCTGGCTTGCGAGGCGAGCACGCTAACTCCTACACTGTGGCGGCTCCACAATAAATAGAGTAATTTGCGTTATGTAACAGGGCTGTGAGTGAGTGGGAGGACTGGGCTGGTGCAAGAACAGAAAGTCAGCCTGAAGCAGCCCCGGACACCCCCAACACAGAGGGGACAACAGACGCCAACACCCACCTGAGTAACGGCAATGTGGTGGACAAGGGGGCAGCACAGAGGCTGGCCAGCAAACTCTACCATCTGGACGGCTTTAAGAGAACAGATGTGGCTCCTTACCTGGGGAAAAAGTAATTATACTATTATTATTCCTAATAGTTCATCGTTATAATGATATGTTAATAATATAGTTATTATTAATAATAATCCTCACATTTGATACGGCTCCTTTTCACATCGTCGAGACATTGCAAGGCGCTTCACAGAATACACTGCAAAGTTTAGTGACTGTATTTTGTGAAACATGGCAGCCAATTGCTCACAGCAGTGTCCCACAAACAATCGTGGATTGTGTGACCAAATTACCGTATTTTGTGTATTATTATTATTATTTTAAAATGTAAATAATTGTGTTATATTTGTTTACTACATTTATACCAAATCTATTGTATTAATATAACTATTAATAAAATAGTAATAATTATTAATAAATATTCATAATAATAATAATCCTTGCATTTGATATCGCGCCTTATCACGTCGTCGGGATGTCGCAGAGCGCTTCACAGGAATACTGTAAAGTGCAGTGACCGTGTATTTTGTGGGCGAAACACGACCGCCAATTGCGCACAATGTGGGGGCGGGGGTGCTCGAACCCACAGCCTGCTGACTTGGAGGTGACAGCACTTGCAGGCTGGTACCCCCCTCACTGTAACTCATATATATACACGCATCACCCTGAACCTCTCTCCCATGTGTTCTGTCGCAGTAACGAGTTCAGTCAGACGGTGGCTGAGGAATACCTGAAGTTCTTTGACTTTACCGGCATGGACTTGGACCAGGCTCTGAGGTAAGAAAGGGGAGCGGGGGAGGCGAAGTGGGGAGGAAGAAGGGGGCGGTGTGGAGCAGACGGAAGCAAGGCCAATGTTTGTCATGATACCAGATCCCAACCACAGCCGTGTCAACAATCTTTATGTCTTGCATTCCACTCTACTGCTGCACTGTCTGCAAGGGTGGGTGGAAGCAGATTCGACTGTAGCTTTCAAAAGGGAATTGGATAGATATTTGGAAAGGAACCATGTGCAGGGCTGTGGGGTAAGAGCGGAGGATTGGGACTAGTTGGGGTAAGAGCGGGGAGAGGGACTAGTTGGGTTAATAGCAGGGAAATGGGACTAGTTGGGCGTAAGAGCGGGGGAGTGGGGACTAGTTGGTAGCTCTTTCCTTTCAAAGAGCCGACCGGCCGATGGACCGAATGGCCTCCTCCTGTGCTGCAAGATTCGATATCCTTTGTGTCCCCATCCCAATGTCCTTTTATACAAATGTAATGTTGTATTTGTTGTTGTTGTTGTTTACATCCTTTCTTCTTCTGATTTCAATTGTTTATTGCCCTGGATTTATTAACAATGAAAAATCTCACAGGGCTGACTGACTAACACATAGAAACAGGAGGAGGCCATTCAGCCCCTCGAGCCTGTTCCACCATTCTATTAGATCATGGATGAACTGTACCTCAACTCCAATGAACTACCTTGGCCTCGTATCCCTTGATACCCTGAGCTAACAGAAACCTCCCTCTGGCTCTGTTCTCCTGTAGGAATTTCCTGAAGGCATTCCCACTGACAGGCGAGACACAGGAGCGCGAGCGGGTCCTGAACCACTTCTCACAGCGTTTCCACCTCTGCAACCCCCACACCAGCACCAGCCAAGGTCGGCCACCGCACCTCACGCTGAAGTCTTGTCCGGCGCTGCGGGACGCTCGCCTGTGCGAGGGGGGGTGGGGGCTGCGTAAATACATGTTGTTGTTGTTGTTGGTTGTGTCCGGGTGCTCACACTCACAGTGTGGGTATAGGTGTGTGTGTGTGTGTATTCACACGTGAGTGTGTATAGGTGTGTCTATACACGTGTCGTTAAATGTATCTCTGCATGTGTTCAGGTGGATATTAAAGATCTCCCGGGGCGCTGTCAGCAAACGAGAAAGGAGTCTCTCTCTCTCTCTCCCGGTGTCCTGGCCGACAGTCCCCAAGATAAAATCGCTCGCTCGCTTCATGGCTGTTTGGGGGGATGTCGCCGGGCGCAAACCGGCTGCTGCGTTCGCCCACAAAAACACACAGTCACTACACTTTACGGTGAAAGCCTGTGACGCGCTTTGAGACGTCCTCCCGACGCGAAAGGCCCCACATCCGATGTCAGGTTTATTATTATTAGTGTTGTCTTGTAGCCGCGTCTGACCTTTTTTCTCTCTCTCTCTCGTGTAGATGGGGTTCACACACTGACCTGCGCTCTCATGCTGCTGAACACAGACCTGCACGGTCAGGTGAGTATCAGCGTGTGGCCGTACACAACAGCGAATGTGAGTTGTGCAAGTCTCCGAGTCAGGAGGTTGTGGGATCAAGCCCCCCACACACACACACACACACACACGCACACATACGTCGGGGTCTCTGAGCTCACAGTCCAGGCTGATGCTCCAGCATAGAGTTGGGGGGAGAGACAGGGAGAGAGAGAGCGAGCCCTGCATTGTCGAAGACTCCGTCCTTTTCGGACGAGACCTTAAACCTCACTCACTCCCCCTCCACTGGGCCCTGATCAGTCGGATGTTGGAAAAGAGAAGGGAGTGTCTCTCTCTCTCTCTCTCTCTCTCTCGGTGTCCTGGCCGACAATCACCTAAATAACTTCGCTCGCTCGCTTCACGACTGTTTACGGGGACGTCCCTGTGTGCAAATTGACTGCCACGTTTACCCGCAAAACATTCAGTCACTACACTTTACAGTGAAATCCTGCGAAGCGTTTTCAGACGTCCTCCTGATACAAAAGGTGTGATACTAATAATAACAATCCTTGCATTTGTTACAGGGCCCTATCATGTCTCAAAGGGCTTCACAGAATATACTGTAAAGTGAATTGGCTGTGTGTTTTGTGGGCGAAATTGAATGTAACGAATATTATTATGGTTATTAATATTTTAACCCTCTGATCGCGTCTTCTCGCCTTCTTTCCCGTCTTATCAGAATCTGGGGAAGAGCATGTCAAGTCAGGAATTCATCATGAACCTGGAAGGGATGAACGATGGAAAGGATTTCTCAAAGGACATCCTGAAGGTGAGAATTCAGCTGTGTGTTAGACACGTCCTCCTCTCCCTCCCCCTGACTCGGAGTCGAGTTCCGCCATTGATAGGCACTCCGGGACACTGCCCCACGTGAAGGGTGCTGTGTAAAGGCAAGTTGTTGTTGTTGATCCCTGACATTGCTCTTTTCCACAGACGCTGTATCATTCTATCAAGAACGAGAAGTTGGAATGGGCCATGTGAGTAACAGTGGAGAGTCATTGGCTCAAGACAGCTCCCTTCCTCTCCCCTCCCTCCCCTCCTACCCCCCACCCTCCTTGCCCTCCACCCCTCCTGATCCCAACCCCCAGCTCGGGTTCAAATCCCTGACTGTCCAGCGCCTTGGGACGTCCCCCACTTCGTGAAAGTGGTCGTGTAAATGTCATGTGTTGTTGTTGTTGTTGATGATGATGACAGCTGGTGTGACGGGAGCAGTTGTTGATGATGATGATGGTGATGTTGTTACAGAGACCAGGAGGATGTACAGAACGCGACAGTGGGAGGAGAGGAGTGCTGTGTGAAGCCAGGCAGTGGGAAGGGAAAGCCCTTTGTACAGTTGCCCCAGGATCAGAAAGCCGTCACGTACAAACAGGGCTTCTTGAGCCGCAAGACCCATGCCGATATCGATGGCAAGAAAAGTGAGTGTGGGGGGGGAGAGGGGGGGGTGGCGGGCAGGAGGGGGGCTGCTGGAGAGCACTGGGAGGAGCAAATGATGCAGTAAGAGAAGATCGGGGAGCGGATGGAGTATGGGTCAGGGCGAGGAGATTGGAACTGACCCATTGACTGTATTCGCTTGAGCCCCAGTTTGTGGCTCCTCACTGCTGAAGGGGTGATGGTGGGTCAGGCTGGATATCTGTCACCCCTCACTGACGACCCCGTGTGTCTTACAGCTCCCTGGGGCAAGAGGAGCTGGAAAACCTTCTACAGCGTCCTGAAGGGCATCATTATCTACCTGCTGAAGGTACAGTAACAGGAGAGAGAGAAAACGAGGGCATGTTCCCAACTCACTGTCAGGCTCTCAGTAAAAGCCCGGCTAAAGTGTGTGTCAGCTTGGCTCAGTGGTAGTACTCTCATTGGAACATAGAAACAGGAGAAGGCCATTCAGCCCCTCGAGCCTGTTCCGCCATTCTACTAGATCATAGTTGATCTGTACCTCAACTCCAATTACCGGCCCTTGCCCCATAATTAATCCTCAATCGCCTCCGAGGCAGAAGGTTGTGGGTTCGAGCCCCACTCCACATCACATACTCTAAGCTGATGCTCCAATGCAGCGCTGTGGGAGGTGGGGGGAGCTGTATTGACGTTAAACCTCACTGCCTGTTCAGGTGGACGTTAAAGATCTCCTGCTGTTGGAAAAGAGAAGGGAATTTCTCTCTCCCGCTGTCCTGGCCAACAATCGTTCACCGAATCCATGACCGGGATGTCTCGAGGGGGAGAAGGGGGCGGGGGTTAGTTTGAGTTGAACACTGTGTAATGTCCCCCACTCTCTCCCACCTTTCCACCCCCCTCTTCCAGGATGAGTATCAGGCTGACAAGCAGTGGTCAGAGGAGGCTATCAGTGTCCATCACTCTCTGGCCAGCAGAGCCTCGCGCTACCACAAGAGGCCTCACGTCTTCCAGCTCCAGACAGCAGACTGGCGCATCTTCCTGTTCCAGGCCCAGTGAGTACCCGCCCCCAGGACAGGCCTCGCCTCCCCTGCCCCACCCACTGCCCCTCCCTCTTCTCTTCCCGAGGGCAGGTCCTGCCTCCCCCAGCCCTTCCCCTGCCTTTCACCCATCTCAGCCACGCCTATCAACGTCAACATCAACATCACCTGTCGCGTGTTGACTCCTGGAGCATGCTGGCTCCGCCTACAGTGTGTTGACATTCACCTGCAGCGTGCTTGTGAGCGAAGCATGTAGCGTGCTGCATATTGACACGTGTGTGTCTCCTGTGTTAGGAGCGCGGAAGAGATGAACTCCTGGATCACACGCATCAACCTGGTGGCGGCCATGTTCTCCTCCCCACCGTTCCCGGCTGCCATCGGCTCCCAGCGGAAATTCAGCCGCCCCATCCTCCCTTCCTCCGTCTCCAAACACTCTCAGGTACGTTCTTGATCCATCCCTCCACCCCCCTCCCTCACTAACTCCATCCCTCCCTCTTTAATCCTCCGCTCCGTCTTTCAGGTACGTTCTCCCTCCTTCCATCCCCACTTACTCCATCCCTCTAACACTCCCACCAACCCTACTCTCTCAACTGGACTCCATCCCCCTTTCACCCCCCCCTCCCCCACCCCGCGCTCTCTCTCTCAGATTGGCTCCGCCCTGCGCGGGACTATGGGACGTCCCCCTGAGGGGGCAGGGCTCAGTCCTGGCCAATGACAGTAGGTGATTTCTCTCGGCACTGTGATTGGCAGGAGCAGCAGCTGGCCTCTCACAACGCCTCGCTGCTGAGGGTGAGGGAGGAGCTGGAGGACCACGAGCTGAGCCCCGGGGGCAGGAAGGGCAAAGCCAAGGAGTTGGAGGAGCACAAGGTCAAGCAGGAGTACCTGGAGTACGAGGTGAGGTGACCTCCCAAGGTTTAGCTTAAGCGCTTTGAGACGTGATAAGGCGCAATATCACATGCAAGGATTATTACTGAAACAAGATGCTGTTGTTGATGTTGTTGTTGCTGTTGTTGTTGATGTTGTTGCTGTTGTTGATGTTAATGTTGTTGATGTTGTTGTTGATGTTGTTGTTGCTGTTGTTGTTGTTGATATCATGGCTGATGTTGTTGCTCTTGTGCCCATAACAGAAGAGCCGGCACGAGATGTACGTGCGTTTGCTGCGGGCGAAGCTGAGAGCGGGGAGTGAGGACCTAGATGCTTTGGAGACTCTGCTGTTTGAGTCGCTGGAGGGAGAGGGAGAGCAGGGAGGGATGAAAAAATCTCACTCCAGCCCCTCCCTCAATCTGGAGCAGAAGCCCACCGTCAAAGTCAAGAGGAACGTCTCAGAGAGGCGCACTTACAGGAAGAAAATCGCTCGTAAACTCATCTAAACCGCAGGTACTAAACTCCGCGTATCACTAACCTGGAGGCCTGTAGTGTAGTGGTTAGTGCTCTCGCCTCACAAGCCAGAGGACCTGGCTTCGATTCCCGGACAGGGCAAAACTTTGGGCAAGTTTCCTTACTCCACACACACACGCCTCTGTTTACGTAGCAGTAAGTAGGAACCTGGCTGTTATTCAATTGGCGGATCGCTTTTCCAAGGGATACTACCTTCAAATAATAATAATTTGGTCACTCACTCCACGACTGTTTGTGGGGACTCTGCTGCGCGCAATTGGCTGCCGCGTTTTGTCCACAAAATACACAGTCACTACACTTTACGGTATATCCCATGAAGCGCTTTGAGGCATCTCACTGACGTGGCAAGGCGCTGTATAAAGCTGCCTCTACACTGTGCATCCACACTCCCCTGTGCTGCGCATTCCCTGGACTGTGATCTGTGGTGACATCTCTGCTCTATGTGTTTCAGACATTGGTTGCTGAGTGTGAGACAGTGCCAGCCCAGCGCAGTGTGAGCTGGGGGTGGGCGTGTGGCACTGAGCTCCGTGCGGACAGCGCGGTGGGGGGCACCACGGAGCCCAGAGACTGGTGGAGAGAGACCGGCATTCCTTCCCAATCCCGCTTGGTATTCCCGGCCTCTCGGCAAATGCCAGGAAACCTCTGCTGTACATAGTGTTTGTGCTGCAGTCCTGGCCTCAACCACTGACTGACTTAACTCTCCACACACACCACCCCCCCTCCCGCTCGCTCTTGCTTTGTGGGGCCGTTTCCCTTTATCCGCGCACCCCTACTTACTCAGCAGTAAGTAGAAACCTGGTTGTTAGTCGATTGGCGGATCGCTTTCCTGGGAATCATAATTCCTTCAAAAAAATAATTAATTTTGTCACTCAATCCACGACTGTTTGTGGGGACGCTGCTGTGCGCAATTGGCTGCAGTGTTTCAGCCACAAAATATACAGTCAATTCACTTTACAGTGTATCCCGTGAAGCGCTTTGAGATGTCTCGGCAACGTGATGAGGCGCTCTATCAAATGCAAAGGTTATTATTATTAATTATTAATATTTCAGGCCAGTTGCCTGGTCCACATGAGAACGTTACCAAGCACACGGTGTGATAATGATGTGTGTCTGGGCGACTGAGGCAGGTCAGGGCTGCTTTTTTTTAACGCTGCTTTTCCCAATGTTATTGCACTATTATTGTTGCTGCTGTTTGTTTTGTCGACTTAAAACGTGGAGCGAAAAGAAAATGGGAGCTCGGGTCCCGGCTACTCAAAATCCCCGGGATCTCTGATTCCCGCAAACCGCAACGACGTTCCCAGAAAAAAAAATGGGGAAATGCGCCCAGTGAAAGCAGGAACAGTTAGCACTGATCGTGAAGATCTGTAGCTTAGTGGAGTCCTGTAGCTTAGTGGTTAGACTCCGGGTTCGATTCCTGGGCAGGACAGGGCGAAACCTTAGGCAAGTCTTCTTACTCCGCGCACACGCCTCTGTTTACAAAGCAGTCGGTAGGAACCCGGTGGTTAGTCGATTGGCGGATCATTTTCCGGGGGTAGTAATCCCTTACCAAAAAAAAAAGGAAAAACAATAATAATTTGGTCACTGAATGTGAATCCACGGCTGTTTGTGGGGACCCTGCCGTGCCCAATTGGCTGCTGCATTTCACCGAAAAGATATACAGTCAGTTCACCCGACAGTGTGTCCTGCGAAGCGCTTTGGGACGTCTCGAAGACGCGACGCGGCGCTCTGTAGGGACTGTTGTTGTTATTCATCGTAACCCACGTTAATGCAGAATGCGACCACTGGAGGGCGCCATGTACCTGCGTGTGACCAGCACACACACACATGTACACACACACACACATGTACACACACACACACACAGATCCTTACACAATAGTGAGCCATACACCCACCGTGTTTTACCGAAGGAATATATTTTAAAGCGAGGAGCTATTTTGCTGAACCGCGCGGGTTGGCTTGTTATTACTTGTGTCCCATTGGCGCTCAAAATGCTGCAAACGATTCTATTTTTTTAAGCAAAATACTATATATTGTCCGTTCACGTTTCCCGTTTCTCTCAACAACAGCAAAAAAAAAGCCGCACGATAAAATACTGATAAAATAAAACTTTTTTTTTTCTTTTTTTTAAAAACTCCGTTTGTTTCGTGAGCGATTTGCGGCAATTTGTCACCTCCGGGGTGTCAGGAGGTTGCGGTTTTGAGTTTCTCTCTCTCTCTCTCTCTCTCTCTCTCTCTCTCTCTCTCGCCCGGTGTCCTGGCCGACAATCCCCCAGATAAAAAAAAATCGCTCGGTCGCTGCACGGCTGTTTGCGGGCACGTCGCTGTGCACATTTGCCCACGAAACACAGTCACCACACTTCGCAGTAAATCCTGCAAAGCGCTTTCGGATGTCCTCCTGACTTGATAAGGCTCTGTATCAAATGCAAGGATTATTACTAGTGTTATTAAAACAACCAGCCCAATCTAACCCTATTAGTTAACGAGGATGGGAGGACAAAGCAAACAGCTCCCCATTAGCCATCTGACAGATGACGCTATCAATAACCTACAGCCGAGAGAGTGAGGCTTGTAAACATCGAATGTTCCACACAACAAAACTGCTGCTTAATAATTACATTGTTGGGAGAGTTATCGTCGCGATTCACTTCTGACACTAACAACAACAATAATAATAATCCTCACATCTCCTCACTCCTCCGCCTGCTCTGTGAGTGCGATTTGGTCAGGCTGTCGGAATGTGGGAATCGAGCCAGTCCTCTTGTGACGGTCTCTAGTCCCGGTTCCTGAGCCAGGAGCGGCCGCAGTATCCCAGGGCACTCGCTGCTGATGACAGCACAGCCCGGCCTGGCTCATGGGCAGCACCTGGAAGGGCCGACCAGTCACTTGGGGCAGGGAGTCATCCCACTCAGCTCCTGCAAGCCTAAATAAGATGGTTCTACCTGGACAACCAGCGGGAAAGCTTCTCAGATAGCGCTATTTCTCTCTCTCTCTCTCACTGTCAATGGCAAGCTGTGTAGTTTTAGCTGGGTAGACTCCAGCAGTCACCCCACGCACACTCTGGGCTCGCCACCCCCCCCCACCCCCAAGCCTTGGCTCTTGCCAGTCTGCACCTAATACTCTCCGGAATCAGGTAAGCAGGATTCTGATGTCCGTTCCTGAAATTTCATCAGCCGGAGTTAGTAAGTGAACAAATGGGGAAGTTAGGAGAGTGCGGTTAGGATGTGGAGCAACAGTTGAGGCAGAATCCATATTGGCTTCAAGAGGGAACTAGATGAATAGCTTACAAAGAGTCAGTTACTTGGGGAGAGGGGAAGGGGCAGGAAATGGGACGGAAAGGTTTGCAGACACGAAGGGCAGGGCGAAATGTTAGGAAAGTTTCCTTACTCCACTCACTCGCCTCTGTTTACCTCACAGTCAGTAGGAACCCGGTTGTTAGTCGATTGTCAGATAAAAATTTGGTAACTGAATCCGCGACTGTTTGTGGGACGTCGCTGTGTGCAATTGGCTGCCGCCTTTCGACCACAAAATACACGGTCACTACACTTTACAGTATATTCTGAGACGCGCCTCGAGATGTCTCGGAAGACATGATCAGACGCTGTATCTAATGCAAGGATTATTATTATTATCTGTGGTGGGGGGGCAGGAGTGGGTTAGTTCAGTCAGTGCAGAGGGAACCAGTATTGCCTGCTGTGTAACTCAGGAGAGAGTGGAGCTGGGTTAGAGATTACCTTTCCCTGACTGCAATAGCCCTGGTCACACAGCTCTGTGCTTGGCCAACTCAGCGCTGGAGAAAGGCTCCCCCCACATTCACACAGTGCTCAACTACTTAAACAATGCAGCAAACTTCCTGATAACTCAGCACTTCCCGAGGGGGAACGGGCTCAGTGACGAGGTATCAGGAGCGATGCGTTGGTGTCTGCGGGTGAATACGTACATAAATGCGGCTGGTTAGTTGGCTAGCTAGTTAGTTAGGCTGACACGCGCTGAGCCGGGCTGACTCACGCACACACTGAGCCGGGCTGACACACACACACACACACTGAGCCGAGCTGACACACACACACACACACTGAGCCGGGCTCACGCACACACACACACAAACACTGAGCCGGGCTGACACACACGCACAGACACACACACACACACACACGATACCTTTGATGAATTTGGCCAAGACATAAGTTACCCAAATCAAAGGCCAGGGTCCTCCCTCCCACCAGCCCGCACTGTCTACTCATTTAGATTAGCCATTACTGCAGTCGTGAATAAAGTGTGGAGCTTTTAAGTTAATATAAATGAACAGGAGGCTTTGCCTTAAAGTACAGTGATTTGCAAAAGGACAAAAGCAATGATCCTTACCACACGCACATCTGTTTAATCTCCTTTTTATTTTCTGCATCATGAACTTTTATTTCCAATTATTTCTGCCTCTGTCTCTCCCTCTCCCTCTCTCTCTCTCTCCTCCCCGCCTCCACACAGACACACGCACGCACACACACACACACACACACAGGCCGTCCTCATTGAGGGAACATAAAAATATAAAAATCGTCTCCGCTGTAGTGAACAGTTTCTCCGCATCTGCCAAATGCCTGGAGTGATAAATTATCCACTCCCGCTCTGACACTCTCCGATGAGAAGCATATAAATTGCACCTTCATTTCAAACCTCACTACTTCTCTCCCCCCACCCCCCACCCCATCTCTTGTTTTTCTCATAGGAACAGGAGGAGGCCATTCAGCCCCTCGAGCCTGTTCCGGTTCCACCATTCTATTAGAACATGGCTGATCTGTACCTCAACTCCAATTACCCGCCTTTGCCCCATGTCCCTTGATCCCCCGACCTAACACACATCCCTCCACTTCAGTCTTGAAGATGTGAATGGATCCAGCCATAATCCACAGCCTTTTTGGGGGGAGAGAGAGAGAGTTACAGATTTCCACTCCTACTGTTAAGTGTGGTGACTGTGTGTTTTGTGGGCGAAACCCGGCAGCTATATCAAATGAAAAGATTATTATTAAGGAATTAATAATCTTAATTAACCTCATTAAGACGGTGTCTATCGATATGGTTACCCGCTGGCCCCCGGCACAGCCCTGTGTCTCCTGTTATATGCAAATACAAAGCTGTCATAGGTTAACGGATGGGGCAGGGAGGCAGACTCAGCTTTGGACTCGGAGCGGATTAGCTTCCGATGGGGGTTTTGTTTCCTGGTTGATTTACGGCTAATGAAACGGCAGCACTCCAGTGATCAGAGGGACTATTAAGGGATTAGATTTGCCGAGCCTGGCAGATCCTGTGAGGAGAAATGGGAAATGCGCGGGGTCATTTAAGAAGAGTTAATGGCAAATGCAAAATGCCTCTCATTCGCTTTAGTGTAACGCTATCCCCTCTTGCGTGTCGATTTGTATTCCTTTAACAAGGCCGAAGGAAATCGGCCTCACCCCGCCTCGCCCCACCTCACCCGCTGCCCAGCGCATTAACATAGAACCCCATCCGCACCCCCTGTAGCTCAATGGTTAGCGGGTTCGCCTCGCAAGCGAGAGGACCCTGGTTGGGAGTCGATTCCCGGCCGTGTCAGGGTGACACCTTAGGCGAGTTTCCTTACTCAGCACACTCCCCTCTGTTTACTTGGCAGTAAGTAGGAACCCAGTGAAATCGATTGGCAGCAGGGGAAATAATCCCTCGAAAACAAATAACCGAAATAATAATCTGGTCATGGCTGCTTGTGGGACGCTGCCGTGCGCAATTAATTGGCTGCCGCCTTTCACCTACAATATACACACAGTCACTACACTTTGCAGTATATCCTGTGAAGCGCTTTGAGACGCCTCGACGTGATGAGGCGCCGTATCGAATGCGAGGATTATTATCCTGAACAGGGCACAGACGGGGGGGGGGGGATGGAGTGAGGCTTAACATCTCATCAGAAGGACAGGGCCTCCACTGACTACACAGTCACTACACTTTGAGACGTCCTGTTGATGCAAAAGGCGCTGTAAGAATCAAAATGGAAAAGGATTGTTGTAACAAGGCCTGAGAGGCAGGAGTTCAACCGAAAAAATACATTAACTGATCCTGAAAGTAACTGTTTAAACTTTTATTTCCGTCGTTCGATCATGCTACATGGAGTTTAAAACGTGCCTCCTTAATGCCTAACATACATGTTGTTGGCGTGATGGTGGTATAAAACAAAACCTGGAGTGGAATGTTCTCCGAACTGAACGGGCAGACTGTAGCCTGTTTTCCCTCCTTTCCCTCTCCCCCGCCCCCGAAACATACAACCCTTCGGATGTCTCCAAGCCGTTGGCTTTAAAGAGTCCATTTCCGGTGAATGTTGAACAGGGAATCCGAGAGGGGGGGCGGGGGGTGGGAGGCGTTAAAGCTAGTCACCATCCTTCCGGAAGTTTGCTTGCTCCGTGTTTCCCAGGAGACCAGCGTTAATGGACGTGTTTCCTCAAAGCTTCAAAGGAGCTTGAGTTGAGTTGAGTTCAGTGCAACCTGGGAGCAACGGGACAAAGTCCTGGCCTGCACAGACTTGGAGTTCCCTCTCTCTCTCCCTCTCCCTTCCTCGTGTCTCGCTCTCGTCTTCGTAACGGAACGAATAGTCGTGAACAAAGTCTGTTGTCACGTAGTGTCCTCAGACGGTCACTGGGGGGGAGGTTTCGATGCTCGTGGGAAGCGATGAAGCATTGCTGTTGATGTTGTGGTGGTGGTGGTGTTGATTTGGTTGGCATTTCCCATCTTCAGGTCGAGCCTGAAGACCTTTTTCTCTGACCGTGCCTACCATCACTCCCCCCCCCCCCCCCCACACATACACCCCACCCCCCCCCACCCCCAGCTTGGCCTCGTGCTCCACCACTGTCAAGTGCTCTGACAGGGTGCTATGTTATGTAAATGCAAGTTTTTGTTGCTGGCGTTGGGGGTAGGAGAGGGGTTGGTTTCCAATGGAGCCCGGCTGTTTGCCCCTCTCTCCTCTCTCTTCGTAGAGGGGCAAACGAGGAGGTGGGGGGAGGAGGGGTGGAAGGGAACCAAACACACATTGTCAATGCTCCAACTGTACTCAACAGGCAACAACTCCAGGAATTATCCTTATTGGAGTCTCCGTGCTTTGAGAGAGAGAGAGAGAGAGAGAGAGAGAGATGGCATGTGGTAAATCCAATGCAACTTTTGTCCTTGTCAAAATGTCCGCCCCCCCCCCCAGAGAGAGGGGGCAATTGGCTGGTTTATCTCTCTCCCCTTGTTGCCCAGGTCCTGTCCCCTTTGCCCCGTCGCTCCTCTCCTCTCCTCTCCGCTGTCTTGTCTCCTTTTCCTTTGGTCTGAAACAAATGGTTCTCCTCCCACACCCAACCTCCACCCACCTCTCGCCTCCCCCCACACCCCCTCCCCCACATCGTCACCCCCGGGCCTAGGGGGCCAGGCTTCCCTCGGCAACACTCCCGGTTGCCGGGGCGACTAGAGGTGGTCGTAGGGAGCGGAGGCCGCTGCGGGGCCGCTGGGCCGGGAGCCTGAGCTGTAGTAATAGGGAGAACCTGAAAGGGAACAGACACAAGCCTGAGCACAAGGCCTCGATTGGGGCCAGAGGTCAGGCCCAGGGTCAGAGAGGGAAGGGAGGGAGGAAGAAAAAGAGGGGGCAATTGAGAAGGATGGATGGGTGGAGAGGGAGGGGGAGGGCGAGGGAGACAGAGAGAGAGTGGGGGGGGGGGGGGAGAGAAAAAGGGCAGGAGAACGTAGGAACAGGAGGAAGCCATTCAGCCCCTCGAGCCCGTCCCACCATTCCATTAGATCACGGCCGACCTGTGCCTCAACGCCAAATCGAGTGGGGGGGGAAAGAGAAAGGTAAAGGGAGGGAGAGAGAGAGAGAGGGAGGGAGAGAGAAGAACGAGAGAGAGCGATAGAGAGAGAGAGGGAGAGAGAGAGAGAGAGAGAGAGAGTTAATAAAGTTCGAGAGCGGCCAGGTTTGGGTTACGGGCTTACTGATTAATCCGGGGCTGGGGAATCTCCAGGAATCGGTGTAGGACGTGTAGTGTGTGTAGGGACTGGCGGAGAACTCGCTCCCTGCAACAGGAACACAACATAGTCATCACATCACATCAGAGCCCCTCCGCCCGCTCGCCAGGGGGTGGATACATCAGATACACTCCTCTTACCCTCACACCCCACCTCTCTCTCCCCCTCTCTCTCCCCCACTCTCCCTCCCTGGCTCTCCCTCTCCCTCTCTCCTCCCATCTCGCTCGCTCTCTCTCTCTTTCTCTCCCACCCCCCCCCCCCCCGCCCTCGCTCTCTCCCCCTCGTTCCCCCTCCCCCACCACCCCCTCCCCTCATTCCCCTCCTTGCTCCCTCCCCTCACTCTCCATCTCCCTCTCTCTCTCTCTCCCCACCCCACCCCACCCGCCCCCACACTCTCTCTCTCTTTCTCTCCCCCCGCGTGGGACGGGGGCCCAGGAATTCCATTACACGCTTGGCAGCCGTCGCCCCCGGCAACGCGTCAAACAAGCCAGGTCAGGGCGAGCGGTGACGTCTGTAACGGTCTCGGCTCAATCATTAACGCCCCCCCCCCTCCCCCTCGCGACCTGAAGATAGGGAAGGAAGGGGCAAGGTGGAGGGAGAGAGGGAGGGTGTTTCACACACACACACACACACACACACACGCAGACCAACCGGAGACCATGCCAGTGATGGTTGAGGTGTTGTAACTGCCTTGCCCATTGCCAGGGACGTGAGGAGGATATCCTGGCAATGTAGACCTTACCATCTCACGCCCTAGAGTGAACAAAACAGCAGAGGTTAATGTTAGTGCTTTCGGGGACTCTGAGCTCACAGTCCAGGCTGACGCTCCAGTGCAGCGCTGGGGTGGGGGGGGAGACAGAGAGAGAGAGAGAGAGCTCTGCATTGTCGGAGATGCCTTCCTTCGGATTAGGCGTCAAAAACCTCACTCACTCCCAGTCCGTGCCCCGGTCATGCTGACGTTAAAAGAAATGCGGCAGCCAACTGCGCACAGCAGCGCCCCACAAACAGCCGTGGATTGCGTGACCAAATTTTATATTTATCTTGGAAGGGATCATTGTTCCTGGAAAGCGATCCCCTCAGTCGCCGAACAAGCGGGTTCCTACTGGAGGAAGGAAACTTGGAACAAGGTTTCGCCCTGACCTGACCCACCCGGGAATCGAACCCGGGGTCCTCTTGCTTGCGAGGCGAGGGCTCTCACCACCGAGCCACAGAGAACTCACCTGTCACCACGCTGTAGGTCTGTGAGTTGCAGATATTTCGTGGAAGGGCTGAGCTGGAGGCCAGACCCGACTTCCCTTCCTCCAGTCCGTTAGTCAGCGCAGGGGCAGGGTACAGAGGCGACTGTGTGCGTGTGTGACACGCAGAGAGAGAGAGAGAGAGAGAGAGAGGCTGATAATAATCCTTCCATTTGATACAGCGCCTTATCACGTCTTCGAGTCGTCTCAAAGCGTTTCACAGGATATACTGTAGAGCGCAGTGACTGTGTTTTGTGGGCGAAACGCGGCAGCCAGTTGCGCATGGCAGCGTCCTGCAAAGCAAGTACCTGGTAAGCCAAAGCCCCTAACTAACGGGGAGGGTAGTCCTGGCTGGACAAGCAGCGGGAAAGCTGGGCAGGTAGGCAGCGCTCTCAATGGCGAGCTGTGTGGTTTCCGCTGGTTAGACTCCAGCAGTTACCCCCAACCCATACTCTGGGCTCCCCCCCCCCCCCCCGACAAGCCTTGGCTCTCACCAACCTGCACCTAATAGTATCTAGAAATTAAGTAAGCAGCGGGCGTCCCTCCAGGGAGGGGGAGAGAGAGAGAGCGTTCCATTCCAGCAATCCATCTCTTTCCGTGTGTAGGTGGGATGTGGGGAATGCTCAGTTGGGTTTGGATATTCTTAAGCAACGGTGACGGGTTTCCACGCGTGTCGGACGCCCGCGGCTTCTCACCTGCTCTGCCTTGCTGTGCCCAGGCGGGGGGGAGAAGACGTCAGGGTAAGGCTGGCGCTCGAAGGCACAGTCCAGCACCTCCAGCTGGCGGGAGAAGGTGTCCCCGCGGAGCCGCTTGCGAGAGCCCCCCCCAGCAGGTGCGGGCTGTGTGCCCCCCGTCAGCGGGCAGCCGTCATCCTCACCTGGGCACCGCGGGGGAAACAAAACTGTCAGCTCCGTGTGCGTGTACGTCTGCGCGTGTGTGTCTGTGTGTGTGTATGTCTGTGCGTGTGTATGTCCCCCCCCCCCCCCCCAAACTCCCCCACCCTCTGTCTGAGTGTGTGCTCGGAGTGTGTGACGGACGCAGATAATAAGAATAATAATCCTTCCAAGTTGATTGTCACATCTTCGTGACGTCTCAGAGCGCTTCACAGAATACACTCCATAAAAGTCTAGCGACCGCGTATTTTGTGGGCGAAACACGGCAGCCGGTTGCACACAGCAGCGTTCCCCCGCACACAGCCGTGGATCGAGTGACCGCATCGTTACTCTGAAGGGATTATTTTCCCCCGGAGAGCGATCCGCCAAAATCGACTAACCAACCAGGGTTCCTGCTTACTGCTGGCAAACAGAGGGGCGCGGGCCTGCGAGGGTGCGCGCGCGCGTGTGTGTGTGTGTGCGAGGGAGCACGTGCGGTGGGTGTGACAGGCGCGCGTGCTAGAGACGTGTGTGTGTGTGTCCCGTGTAGCGTGTGTATGCGGGTGTGCGGTCGGTCGGTCGCTCACTCTCGGCCAGTTTCCTCTTGCTGTGGCTGCCGGGCTGGACGAGGCCGAGGAGGCCGTTGATGGAGTAGGCCGGGGCCTGAGAGTCCGTGGCGGGCGGGGACTCGGGTGGCGTCACCGTGGAGTTGGGGACTGTAAACAACAACAACAACGACACCAACAACATGGGTGTATTTACGCGGCACCTTTTCACGTCAGGAGGACGGCCCAAGGCACTCGCTCGCTGACGGTGGGGAACGTGGAGCAGAGCCGGAGCCCGCCGAGCGGAGGGAGCGGACAGGTCAGTGACAGATACTCACCCAGGGTGTGCACTGGGCTCAGTCTCGTGCTTAAATGTTCCTCGAGGGGCAGGTGAAACGGCTGCTGTACTTTTGTCCTTATAATCCTGAAAAAACACGACACTTTGGGTTCGCGCAGCAAAGCCTCTCGCGTCAGGAGGACGTCCCTCAAAGCGCTCGCGAAGTGCGGAGACCGTGTATTTTTTTTCCCGTGGGCGGAATGCGGCAGCACAATTTATGATAACGATGACAATAATCCTTTGCATTTGACCCGGCGCCTCGTCGCGCCTCATCGCGACGTCTCAAAGGGCTTCACGGAACGCACTGTGAAGCGTAGTGACTGCGCGTTTTGCGGGCGAAAGGCGGCAGCCCAATTGTACTCAGCAGCGTCCCCCACCAACAGTCGGGGGATCGATGACCAAATTTTAAAGGGATCATTGTCCCCAGAAAGTGATCCGCCAATCGACTAACAAGCGAGTTCCTACTGACTGCCGGTAAACAGAGGCGCGTGTGTGTGTGTGTGTGTGGAGTAAGGAAACTTGCCGAAGGTTTCGCCCTAACCTGATCTGCCCGGGAATCGAACCTGGGTCCTCTGGCTTGTGAAGCGAGAGCTCCAACCACTGAGCTACAGGACTTCCCCCGCCCCCGTGTGTTGTTATGACGTGCAGCCCCCTCCTCCCCACCCCCCACCTGTTGATGGAGCTGACACTGGGCACAGTGTCGCTGTCACACACGCCCTCCGCCAACAGCCGGTCACGGATCTCCCAGGCGAACATGGTGGGGTTCTGTCGCTTGTACTCAGCGATGTTCTCCACCACCTTGGGGGTGGCCACCTTGGGCTTGGAGCCTCCGATCACCCCCGGCCGAATACTGCCCGTCTCATAGTACCTGCCACACAGTCAGAGAGTGTCAGAGACTCACCCACAGCCACATCAACGCTAACACCAACACCAATTCTAACATCAACACCAATGCTAACACCAACACCCACACCAACACCAACACCCACACCAACACTAACACCCACACCAACACTAACACCCACACCAACACCCACACCAATGCTAACACCAACACCCACACAAACAATAACACCAATGCTAACACCCACACCAACACCCACACCAATGCTAACACCAACACTAATACCCACACCAACACTAACACCAATGCTAACACCCACACCAATGCTAACACCAACACCCACACCAACACCAACACTAACACCAACACCCATACCAACACCCACACCAATGCTAAGACCAACACCCACACCAACACTAACACCAACACCCATACCAACACTCACACCAACCAACACCCACACCAACCAACACCCACACCAACACCCACACTAACACTAACACCAACACTCAGTCCACAACGTGTCAGAGTCTAGTCAATGTCAGTGCCAACATCTGTGTGCCTGTGTGTGGCTGTGTGCCTGTGTGTACCTATGTACCTGTGTGTGGCTGTGTGCCCCTGTGTGCCTGTACTGACCTGCCCAGGATCTTGCTGACACAGCCGTGGCTGACCCGCAGTTGGCGGGAGATGTCACAGGGACGGACGCCCTGATGCGCCAGGTCCACAATGCGCTGTCTCACCACGTCAGGCAGTGGCCGCCCGTTCACAAACATCCCTCCCAACTGGTTCAGTCCTCCGTGCCCTGAGAGAGAGAGACACGTCAACTCACTCACACACACACACACTCACACACACACACACACACACTCACTCACACCCACACACACTCACACCCACAAACACTCACTCACACACACACACACTCATACACACTCACACTTAAACACACACACACACAGCACTATACCACACTCACGATGATAGTAATAATCCTTGCATTTGATACAGCGCCTTATCACGTCTTTGAGACGTCTCAAAGCGCTTCGCAGGATATACTGTAACGTGTAGTGACTGTTTTGTGGGCGAAACTCGGCAGCCAGTCGTAGAGTGAGTGAGTGAGTGAGTGAGTGAGTGGGGTAATTTTATCTGGGGGATTGATGGCCAAGAGACCGGGGGAGACAGAGAGAGAAAACCTCCCTCGTCTTTTCCAACAGTGCCACGGGAGCTCTTTAACAGATGCCTGAACGGGGCTCAGACAGGGAGTGAGGTTTAACGTCTCATCCAAAAAGGATATCTCTCTTTCCCTCTCTCTCTCTCTCTCCCCCCACCCCAACCCCACCAGCGCTCTCTTTCTCTAATCCCTCCCCAGCTCTCTCCCCCCACCCCCTAGCGCGCGCGTGCTCTCTCTCTCTCTCCCCCCCCCCCCCCCAGCACTCTCTCTCTCCCTCCCGCCCTCCACCCCCAGCGCTGTCTCTCTCTCTCCCCCAGCGCGTTCTCTCTCTCTCCCACGCGCTCTCGGTCTCTCTCCCCCCCCACACCCAGCGCGTTCTCTCTCTCTCTCTCCCACGCGCTCTCGGTCTCTCTCTCCCACGCGCTCTCGGTCTCTCTCTCCCCCACACCCAGCGCGTTCTCTCTCTCTCTCTCCCACGCGCTCTCGGTCTCTCTCCCCCCCCACACCCAGCGCGTTCTCTCTCTCTCTCTCCCACGCGCTCTCGGTCTCTCTCCCCCCCCACACCCAGCGCGTTCTCTCTCTCTCTCTCCCACGCGCTCTCGGTCTCTCTCCCCCCCCACACCCAGCGCATTCTCTCTCTCTCTCTCCCACGCGCTCTCTCTCTCTCTCTCCCACGCGCTCTCGGTATCTCTCTCCCCCCCCCCCAGCACTGTGCTGGAGCTTCAGTCTGGACTGTGTGATTCCAAAGCCCTTGACTTGGGGACTTGAACCCACAACCCCCTGACTGCCCTGACCACACACAGCACTGCATATAACACTGTATAACAGACTGAAGCAGGAGGTCTGTCTCTCTCCCTCTCCCCCTGTCCCTGTCCCTGGGGTTGAGTCAGGTTCATTCCGGATTTGTCCTCACTTTATCCTGGTTTCTCACGAGCTATTGACAAACTTCCCAGTTCAGTCCCAGGTCACAAGCTTACAACCCCGGGCAGAGCTCCGCTAATGTTTTTAATTTAACTTAAAATAAAATAAAATAAAATAAAGCAGATTTTTTTAATGTATATACCCACGTTCATTCGCGCAAAAATACATGGAAGAAAACAATCACCGTCTGGTTTGGGAAACAATAGATTAGTTTTACTTTAAAGGATTTGTCTGCTTTATTTTGTGACTTTAAATCACAAATATAATCATATTATTCCACTACATACACACACACACACACACATATATATATATATACCACACAGACACACACACAACAAATCACGATTTGTGTGGGGCTTTTACACGCACGTTTTTTATGCGATGAACCAGTTATTTTAGAAATAAAACGCCCCGAACTCGTTGAAACCGCCCCAAAAAGGCTTACTTCGAAACGAATCATTTGCGATTTCGTTAATTATCGAATGCAATGCATTAAAACGTGCAATTTCTCCCCACAACACACACACACACGCACACAATTGCGCACACACCTACATAACGCCACACATTTAAGCCCAACACAACTCCTTACACACACACAAACATATATATATACACACACACACACACACGTACACACATACACATACACATACACACACATACACACACACACACACACACAAATACACAATCAAAAAACACTCACAGAAAAAAAATAACACGTTAAAATCCCTGACACAAACTCCCTGGACAGACACAGACACACACATATTTATATATATATATATATATCCCCTCCCCACAGAGACAAAACCCCCTCCCACACACATATTACCCCCCCCCACACACACACACACACACTGTCCTCACTCACCAGTTCCCTACACAACCTTCTGACCACCTTTATTACTGACTGGGATTAAATCACTCAGTAATTTATTGTGACTATCGTTACCATAAATATGGTTCTAACCCGAAATCAAAGCCCGACTTCACTCTGAGTCCGATTTACAACCTGAGAAACGAATTCAACTTAAATATCCTTTTGCTTCTCGATCTCACTATTATTACCACAACCTGAGATCCAACCAACTACACGTTAATTCACCTCGTAATCAAGTGTTAGCATTGCTGTCACAATCCGGAATAAATAACAACCAGTACACAAATTCATTCCGTATCAACCCACAGCATTACAAACCACAACAAATTAAATCCAACTTTATGTTTAATTATAAATACGGTTTGCGATCCGAAACCAAAGCGTAAATTCAACTTTGTTACCCAATGATAACGTTGGGGGGAAAAAAAACACAGATCAGGTCCAGTCTTATTTGGAAACCAATTGTAAATATTATGAGTACAATTCGGAAATCCAAATGTACGTTTACTTTGTGTCCAATTCTAACACTACAAAAACATAATAAATTGAATCCTCCACATCCCGAGTATACACATCACCATAACCTGAAATCCAAAGTATGAATTCACGTTGTATCTGATTGTGACATTGCAAACAGAATTACACCACATCTCACTTTGTACCATTATTATTATTATTATTGTAAGTAGTATTATTATTACAATCTGGAATCCCAGGTTTCAGTGTCTTTTTTTAATCTAATTATTATTGTTGTTGTTATGATTACAATCCGGAATCAAAAGTATAAACCACTTTCTATTTAATTGTAACATTACAAACGAGAACAAAAATTAAAAATCCCACTTTGTATTTAATGATAAATATGATTACAATCAGGAATTCACGGGCAGCTTTGCTGTATGTTAGTTACAAACTGATTATAACATTAGCTGTCAACCCCCTCTCTCTGTCTCTCTGTCTCTCTCTCTGTCTCTCTCTCTGTCTGTCTGTCTCTCTCTGTCTCTGTCTCTCTCTCTCTCTGTCTGTCTCTGTCTCTCTTTCTCTGTCTGTCTCTTTCTGTCTGTCTCTCTCTCTCTGAAAACATTTAATTTACTTGAAAAATATATATGAAACACACACACACACACAAACTGGTCATCCAGAAATAGGAATATTCTCTGTTCCTACATAAAACACAGCGAAGGACAGAGAGACAGACACAGAGACAAACAGACAGACACAGAGACAAACGTACAGACACAGAGACATACAGACAGACACAGAGACAAACGTACAGAGAGAGAGAGAGGGAGACACAGACAGAGAGAGACCTGGAGACTGGGAGTGGGTCACATCGGGAAGGTTTGGGAGGCAGTAAAATTGCTGTTTTGGATGAAGTTTTGGAGGGTTTAATATGTTGTATTTGATCCCAGAACAGAGAAAGAGAGAGAGAGAGATTCCCTTTCACACACAGTTTCCAATTGTAACCTCACAAACAAAAACATAAACAACAATAATCTTTGGGTGAAGAACAAGAGGGGAAAGTTATCTGTGTGGGGTGTGTGTGTGTGTGTGTGTTGTTGTTGTTGTTTACCTGTCTGTGCTGATGTCTGGGGCATTCCTTGCTGACTCTCTCAAGATGAACCTGTGCTGGTCTGTGGCTTGTGCACAAACTGGGCTGGGTTTTCGCTTCACACAGGTTCATTTGCGCATTCTAGCGAATCCTCTGTGGGTTGGGGGGTTTGGGGAGGAGAGACGACCAAAGGCATGTTGTAAAGCGACCTTGTGCTTAAAATATATATATATATAAATGCGATGGGAATGGTTTTAATAAGCACACGCTCACTCTCCCAAGTTCAGGCATAAAAGTTATTTTTTAAAAATATATATTAATTATGAACAATAACGATAATAATTAAGAAAATAATGCCTCCACCCCACCTGTTTAAACAGCTCACTAATTGGCTCAGTGCAATATCTGGACGAATGAACGAATACAGTAATAATAATAATAATAATAACCCCTGCATTTGATACAGCACCTTATCACATCTTCGAGACGTCTCAAAGCGCTTCACAGGATACACCATAAAGTGAATTGACTGTATTTTTGTGGGCGAAATGACATTTGTCTCAATCGAATCATAGGTTATATATATATGTATAAAAAGGTAAAAACAAAAAATAATAAAAACAATTGACAATTGTCCTGATAAAAAGCTCCCCCCCAAAAAACTGTACAAGACAATTGAACAAATAAAAATGCCCTGAAAAAGGCACAAAAAATTGTTGAAAAATTGAAACAAAAATCTTTACAAAAATTGTTTTAAAAACGCACAACAATTAGACAAAAAATTGAACATAAAAAGTGCACAGAGAAAGGGCATAAAACGCACCACAAATATTCCCCCCCAAAAATCGAACTAAATTGTCCCAACATTGTTTGCAAACGTGTGGAAAATTGCGCGTAAGAAAAAAAAGTGCGCAACGTTGCACAAAATAATGCGGCGAAAATTGTTTTAACAAAAAAAAATCGTGCGTTTGTTTCAAGGGGGAAAAAAAAAGGCGTAGCTTTTAGGAACAGTCGTGTGTTTATCTTACCTCACTCAAACCTGCTCCTGGGAGCTAAATCCTGGCAATCCGGTGAGTAGAACCAGACAGCGATAACATAACATAGCCCATCGCATCTCTCTCTCAATGTCCCTGTATTCCCCCCTCAGGCGCACAGTGTACAGCACTGCCTCGTGTTATTATATTAGAGCGCTCACTTCACAAACGAGAGGGTTTGATTCCTGGTCGGGGCGAAACCTTAGGCAAGTTTGCTTACTCCACACACACACACACACGCACACACACACACACACACACGCCTGTTTACCAGCAGCAAGTAGGAACCCGCTTGTTAGTCGATTGGTGGATCGCTTTCCGGGGGTAATAATCCCTTCACAAAAAAAATGCGGCCGCTCAAACTGCTGTGCGCGATTGGCTGCCGCGCTTCGCCCTCAAAAATACGTCTCAAAGCGCTTCACAAACTCTCCTGCCAAGCGAATTGACTAAATTTTTTGATACGTGTTAAGTTTAAACGGATGTACGTTATTTATTACGGCGTATGTTTGTTTTTCTTAATGAAAGAAATGGTGGTGGCTTTTTTGTTTAAATCCCATTAGATTTCCGAATTGAAATGGGTTAAAGTGGGTTATTTTCACGATTTTAATTCATTATTTAGTCGCACGAGAGGAAATTCTTTTCACGCCAGAATGAGTCAGTGTCTGGTTTCTCTCCTGTCAGTGATTTACCCACAGCCACTTTAATGTTTGTAGCAACCGCCGGTGTTAGAACTTCCCTAACCTGTCCGCTCCCTCTGCTCAGTGAGCTCTGACCTGCTCCACATCCCCCGGCCCGGCCCGGCCCAACGCACCATCGACAGTCAGGCCTTCAGCCTCTCTGCCCCCACACTTTGGAACACCATTCCCACAGTCCCTCTGCCTCGCTCCCTCCCTTGTCTCCTTCAAGGCACATCTCAAGGCCGTCCTCTTTGACCGCGTCTTCGGTCAACCCTCCTACCCCCACCCTCCCTGCCCTCCACCCCCTTCCTGATCCCAACCCCCAGCTCGGGTCCAAATCCCTGACTGTCCAGCGCCTCAGGACGTCCTTCCCGACGTGAGAGGCGCCGTGTAAATGTCATGTGTTGTTGTGGTTGACACAACGCTTAACATATCCAGGCTGGACAGTCACTCGAGGGAGTGAAGGGAAGAACGCAGTCCATGGGAGCGGAATATTTTATGACATTAATATTCTTGATAAATACCCGACAGGCGGAATTGGCCACTCACTGAATTTTACTTGTGAATAGGTAAAGGGACTCACAAGTAGGTTCTTACTGACTGCGAGGGAAAGAGAGGCATGTGTGTTGAGTAAGGAAATTTGCCTAAAGTTTCACTCTGCCCGGGAATTGAATATGTCTATGTGTGCGTGTGTCTGTGTGTGCATGTGTGTGTCTGTGTGAGCGTGTGTCTGTGTGTGCATGTGTGTGTGTGTGTGTCTGTGTGTGTCTGTGTGCGCGTGTGTCTGTGTGTGCATGTGTGTGTGTGTGTGTGTCTGTTTGTGTGCGTGTGTGTGTCTGTGAGAGTCTGTGTGTGTGTCTGTTTGTGTGTGTGTGTCTCTGTGTGTCTGTGCGTGTGTGTGTCTGTGTGCGCGTGTGTCTGTGTGTGTGTGTGTCTGTGTGAGTCTGTGTGTGTGTGTGTGTGTGTCTGTGTGTGTGCGATCATGTGAATGATGCATTGCTTCCCCAGTTCTCGGTTCACGCCTGTCATTCACACAACCTGCGAAGATAAATGATAATAAGTTAAAATCCACTTAACAACTAACGCTACACGTTCTCCCAACACACACACACACACACTTGCCATGCTCAGTGATTCCCATGGAGTCAGATAATTACAGAATAATAACGCAGGGATGACGCCATTTGTCACTTTCTCTGACTTTTTTGAAGTTTCGCACCTTGCACTATTGAGTTCTCTCGAGGCGGGGGCGCGAGAGGTGACGGTGGGGGGTGGGGGGCCGATGTACAGTAATAATAATAATCCTTGCATTTGATATTGGGCTGTATCGCATCTTCGATGCGTCTCAAAGCGCTTCACGGAATACACTGTAAAGTGAATTGTCTGCGTATTTTGTGGGCGAAACGCGGCAGCCAATTGCGCACAGCAGCGTCCCCACAAACAGCCGAGGATTGAGCGACCAAATTTTTTTTTTGAGGGATTATTGCCCCCGGAAAGTGATCCGCCACTTGCCTAACCACCGGGTTCCTACTGACTGCTGGTAACCAGAGGCGTGCGTGCGTGTGTGTGTGTGTGAGTGTGGAGTAAGGAAACTTGCTCAATGTTTCACCCTGCCCGAAAATCGAACCCAGGTCCTCTCGCTCGCGAGGCGAGGGCGCTAACCCCTGAGCTGCAGGACTCCACAAATGTTCTGTTGTGTTAACCTTATCCCAAATCGTTTTTATAAATTGTGAACACTTCTATTCAGTCGGTCCGTCACCCCTTCCCCCCACCCCACCACAGTCTTAATTTCTAGCTGAAAATACAGTAGCTTGTTCCCATACTATACCATTCCACATAACTCTCATCTCTCCTCACACAGACACACACACATAGAGACACGCACTCACACACATACATACACACACACGCACACACAATCACATACGCTCACATACATACACTCACACCGACACACACACACACAATTGCACACGCACACACACACAATCACACACGCGCGCGCTAAAGGTTGAGTCGTTATAAATAGAATCTCCCTCAAACTAACAGTGACCCCCCAAAAAAAATCCCTTAAACGGCAATATCCATTTCGTCTGCCTGACTTGTCACTTCCAGCCCCAACTCCCAAACTCAGGAGCACCGAAGCATCTTGTGCTGTGTACTCAACTGTCTCGCAGTGACAGCTCCCTCATTAAATAGATTACTGCAATAAAACTCTTGTTACTTTCAGAAAGAAAAATGATCAGGAGGAAATAATTATAAAAGGTAGCAAGGTGGACACGAGTTCTCGGCTTCCCTGGACTCAATTTCAAGTTCCTCACGACCTCTCCCACCAGCCACCACACCCCCAAACTCTCTCCCTCTCTCCCTCTCTCCCTCTGCCTTGCCCCCTCCTTCCCCAGCTTCAGTTCGGTACCCGATAGACCTTCTCATTCGATCGTGCTTACGGACACCTTCCCCCCGGCTCGCTGTCGTGCTCCGCCACTCTCGAGGGCTCTGGCGCGCTGCCCTGGCAATGAGGGGCGCCATGTAAACGCAAGTTGTTGCTGTAGCTGTGTGTCAGCCTGGCTCAGTGGATAAGGCACTCGCTTCGCAAGCGAGGGAACCTGGGTTCGATACCCAGGCGGTTTCAGAGCGAAACCTTAGGCAAGTTTCCTCACTCTATCCGCACCGAGCGGTAACTGGGAACCCGGTTGTCAGTCGATTGGCGGATCGCAATACATTCTGTGAAGCGCTTTGAAACGTCTCGACGACGTGATAATGTGCTGTATCAAATTATTATTAGCATTGTTATTGTACGATAATCCCTACGCTTAACACAGGGACCTTTCACCTCAGTCAGGCAGACCTCTCACAGCGGGACATTGCACTGTAATTATAATAATAATCCTTGCATTTGATATAGCGTCTTATCGTGTCATTGAGACGTCTCAAAGTACTTCACGGGATATACTGTAAAGTTGAGTGACTGTGTGTGTGTTGTGGGCGAAATGAAGCAGACAATTGCGCACAGCTGCGTCCCACAACCGCAAAGTGTAGTGACTGTGTGTTTTGTGGGTGATAGTACAGCGTGGGGTCTAAACCCCGACGTGGACTAACAGGCTCGGGTCGGGTGGGCTTTTCTGAGGGGAGCGTGTCTGCACAGGGGTAAAGCCAGCCTCTCTGTGTTTTTCCCACCTTGATTTCCCAAGACATTCCCCAGCCTGGGAACCCAGGAGGGAATCACCAACACAGCTGAAATTTAGGATTTAATCCTATGGCTCATTAAGCTCCCAGGAGCTGGTTGCTTCTCTCATATACATCATCCATGCTTAGTAACCATAATGATGACATTACATTAGTAATTCAAAATGAATTTTCTTTTTATAGGGAAACTGAGAATTCTTGGGGTAAAAAAAAGGTAGTTATCAAGGTTTATGACTTGCACGCTCGCTCTCGCTCTCGCTCTCTCTCTCTCTCTCTCTCTGTGTCCCTCACACTCTTTCTCTCTCGCTCTCTTTCCATCTCTATCTTGTGCTCTCTGTCTCTCAATCGCTCGCTCGCTCTCCAAAATAATAATAATAATCCTGGCATTTGAGACAGCGCCTTATTACGTCTTCGATGCGTCTCAAAGCGCTTCACAGGATATACTGTAAAGTGAGTTGACTGTATATTTTGTGGGCGAAACGCGGCAGCCGATTGCGCACAGCAGCGTCCCCACAAACAGCCGTGGATTGAGCGATTAAATTATTATATTTGAGTGACCAAATTATATATCATTCTCTCTCTCTCTCTCTTGCTCTCACTCTCTCGCAATCTTTCGTTCTCTCTCTCTCTCTCTCTGTCTCTCTCTCGCTCACTCTCTCGCTCATGCTTTCTCTCTCTGTCTTTCTCTCTCTCTTTCTCTGCAAGGGGTGAGCTAGTCCAGAAACTGGGAGCTTTGAGAGAGAGAGAGAGTGAGAGAAATAGAGAGAGAGAGAGAGAGAGAGAGAGGCGTGATGTCTTTTTGAATATTTCCGCACAATTTCAAGGCTGATTCTCACTCATCCATCATCTGACAGCTCTGTGCAGCCACCCTGACTGACGCTCACTCCCAAATTACCATATCTCGAGCTGTTTTTTCCTATATACCTATATCTGTTCACTATGTGTGTGTGTGTGTGTGTGTGTGAGTCTGTAATATGGGGAACGTTCTTAAAAGAGGCATGTTATATATGTATTTTTTGCACGCGTGGGCCCCGCGATCAGAGCGGGCACACACACACGCACATACTCACATACACACGCAGACACACACATACGCACGCAAACGCACGCACAGTCATATACACACACACACTCCCCGGGTGAACTTTATCGATAGAGTTTGCTCTAATTAAAATGCACAACAAGTGGCTTGGCTGTTACTCTCTCTCTCTCTCTCTCTTCTTCTCTCGTGCTCTCTCTCATTCTCCTCTCTCGCTCTCCTCCCTCCTCTCTCTTTCGCCCTCTCTCCTCTCTCGTTCTTCCTCTCTCTGGCACTGCCACTTTATCCTCTGGTTCTCCTTCTCCTTTCGATCTCACACTGTCACACACTCACAGTCTCACACTCTCACACACTCACAGTCTCACACACTCTCCCCTCATATCCTGTGAAGTGCTTTGAGACGTCTCGATGATGTGATGAGGCGCTATATCAAATGCAAGGATTATTATTATTGATTTATATTATCATTATATTGCTTCAAACCCAGTGAGTTTCCCTGAGACCCTCTCCCTCTCTGCACAGAACATCAACATGGACACACACTCTCTCTCTCTCGGCCGCTCTCCTGCTGTTTTCTCACTGATGAAAAGCGAGTAATGGGCTGGAGCTCATTTCAGCAGCGTCTCGGACACCCTGAAGCCAGTGAGTCAGCGGGGGGGTACTGTGACCCCTCGAGGCGAGGCGAGGCGACACGAGGAGGCCTGCTTTGTGCCCCCGGGGGTGGGGGGGCTGCTGTGAAGGAGAGAGAGTCCTGTAGCTCAGTGGTTATAGCGCTCGCCTTGCAAGCGAGAAGACCCAGGTTCGATTCCCGGGCCGGTCAGGGTGAAACCTTCGGCAAATTTCCTTACTCCACACACACACACACACACACACACACGCCTCTGTTTACCCAGCAGTACGTGGCAACCCAGTTGTTAGTTGATTGGCGGATCGCTTTCCGGGGGTAATAATGCCTTCATAATAATAATAATTTAGTCACTCAATCCATGGCTGTTTGTGAGACGCTGCTGTGCGCAATTGGCTGCCGGGTTTTGCCCACAAAATACAATATAGATTTACAGTGTATTCTGTGAAGCGCTTTGAGACGTCTCAAAGGCGTGTAATAAGGTGCTATATCAAATGCGAGGATTATTATTATCATTAGAGAGAGAGAGGGGGGGAGCGACACACACACACACACCCACCCCCACACACCCAGAGGAAACAGAGTGTGTGATGGGCTAATTTGCCGGCTGCCTGTTTGCCTGTGAATCACACACAGGAGTGATGAGGTGACAGTTTCATTGATACACTTGATGGCTTTGCCTAAAGCAACAGAGAGGCCGAGAGGGTTTGTTTACACACAGCCGGGGGTGGTGGGGGGGGGGGGGGGGCAGCCACGCACCCCCCCCCCCCCCACACACACACACACACACACTGACTGCTGCCTCTGATCTGCGTATCAGTCTGTGGCTCAGTCGCTCAGCCTCTCGCCTCCGAGTCAGAAGGTTGTGGGTTCGAGCCCCATGTCAGGAGTTGGAATCACACGGTCTGCCTGTTCAGGTGGGCGTTATCCCGTCGTCGAGACGTCTCAAAGCGCTTCACAGAACGTACTGTAAAGTGTAGTGACTGTGCATGTTTTGGGGGGAGCGAAAGATGCCGCGGGGTTATTCGAAAAGAGAAGGGAGTTTCTCTCTCTCTCTCTCTCTTTCCCGGTGTCCTGGCCAGCAATCCCCCAAATAAAGTTGGTCGCTCAACCCGCGACTGTTTGTGGGGACGCCGCTGAGGGCCATTGGCTGCCGTTTTTTTTTTTGCCCACGAAACGCACAGTCACTGCACTTTACGGTCTAACCTGTGAAGCGCTTTGAGACGATTCGACAGTGCGACGGTACAAAACTGCGAGGATTATTGATTAGTAATTATTCATTGCTAATATCTGATCAGGGCGCTCACTGTCGCCGCCGTGTGGCCACGCCGGGGAAGAGCAGGGCATCGCCCCTGCAATGCCCACAGCTGCTGATCGCCACCTGGCGGTAGCAGCGCGGAACTGCGAGGCGAAGCTTTGACGCCAGTTGACGCGGTCGGTCGGTAAATGTCACCGGTTTTTTCTTCACGGGGGAGTTTCAACAGGACGTCTCCGCGAGCGGCGCACGAATGGCGCCGATTGCGGTCACGCACGGTCCGCAAATTGGCTCCGGCGTCAGAACGAAACACACAGTCACTACACCTTACAGGGAAGTCCTGTGAAAGGCGGCCGTGCGTTCACGTAACTTGCACTCTCGGCTAAGAGGCAATTCCTGAACCTTCCTCTGGGAGGCGCAGTTCGCTCACATGTTGTCCTTCTGTGCCTTTTTATTCTTCCGGTGGTAATAATACTATAACAATACTAAATCCTTGCACTCGACACCGCGTTGTTGAGCCGTCTCAAAGCCGCCACAAGATATACTGTAAAGTGACTGTTTATTTTGCGGGCGAAAGGCGGCAGCCAACTGCACGCAGCGGTGTCCCACAAACAGTCGTGGATGGAGTGACCACATTTTTTGATTTTTTTGGAGGGATTGTTACCCCTGGAAGGCGATCCCCCAATTGACTAAAAATTGGGTTCCTACTGACCGTTTGGAGAAACAAAGGCGTGTGTGGCGTAAGGATTTGCCTGAGGTTTCGCCCTGAACTGCCCGGGAATCAAATCGAACCCGGGTTCTTTTGCTCTAACCACTACACTGCGGGACTTCGCAAAACTGAGAGAGGAGGGAGGGGAAGCAAAGGGAGGGAGGGGAGAGATGAGAGAAGAGGGGGGGAGGGAGGGATGGAGGGAGGGGAGACAGTGGGGTATTGGGTGTGTGGGCCCCACGCCCAGGGCTGTGGCTGTGATAGGCTGGAGGCCGAGGAGGAAGCTCCTATATAAGCAGCAGCTCAATGCTGGGAGAGGAGCAGTGAGCTGTGCTGTAAGAAGCAGAGATGGCCACCCTGACCCTCCTCAGCTTGTTGTGCTTGGCCACAGGTAAGGCAGTCACTGGGGGCACAACCTCAGGCATGTGAGCGCTCAGGGCAGAGATGGGGGTCTGACAATTGCCACAGCCCAGTGTGGGTGTGTGTGTGTGTATATGTTTGGCCAAAGCTCGTCACAAAGATATGGAGTCCTGTAATGCAGTGGTTACAACAGTTGCCTGGTCGAGTGGTCGAGTAAGTGAATAAGTGTGTGGTTGAGTAAGTGTGTGGTTGAGTAAGTGTGTGGTTGAGTAAGTGTGAGTGTGTAAGTGTGTGGTTTGTGTGCGTGTAAGTGTGTGAGTTCAGTTGCTTCCTGACTTCCTTCACGGCTACACCATGTATCAAGATCTTCACACTCATCTACAAATCCCTTTATGCCTCGGCACCTCAAAAATAAATGAATAATAATAATAATATTGTAGTCACTCAACCCACGACTATTTGTGGGGATGTCGCTGGGCGCAATTGGCTGCCGCGTTTTGCCCGCAAAACGCACAGTCACTACACTTTACAGTGTATCCTGTGAAGCGCTTTGAGATGTCTTGAAGACATGATGAGGCGCTGTGCCAAATGCCAGGATTACTATTATTATTATTGATGATGAAGATGTTGTTGTTGTTAATGACGTTGATGATGGTGTTGTTGTTGTGCCCGCAGTGATGGCCAGAGCTGATGCCCGTATAGAGATGTGTGCTGGAGGCCCTGCCTACTGGTGCCAGAGCCTGAGCACAGCCACCGCTTGTCGGGCTATCCAACACTGTCTCAATACAGCCTGGGCTCCTCGTACCAAACCCAGCCAGGCTCCCCACTCGGTAAGCTCCTACCTCAGCCCAGCCCCCAACCACAACCCTAAACCTAACCCCAGCCAACCACTCGCCAGCCCCAAACACTAGCCTAGCCCTCACCCCCTAACCCTAACCAGCCAGGCTCCCCAAACAGTAAGCCCCCCCGCCCAGCGTTAGTCCTTGCCTCCTGATCGCAGTCAGGATTCCCACTCCCCCTCTCTCTCCCGCTCTCACTGACTCACACGCGCTCTCCCTCTCTCAGTCTCTCTCAGAAAGTGGGGTGGGTGGGGAGAGAGAGAAGGGGAAAGTGTGGAGGTAGAAAGAGAGACAGAGAGAGGTGGGGGGGGGTTTGGGGAGAGAGACAGAGGGGTGGGGGTATTGGGGGGAGAGAGAGAGAGAGACAGGGAAGGGGGGGGGGGGGCTGTGGAGACAGAAAGATGGAGAGGGAAGAGGATATTTAGAAACTATGGTTGGTGATTGGTTTGTGACACAGAAGTGAGATCTAAGTTGACTGTTGGTAGAAAGGGGAAGTGAATTTGATGTTAAGACCTGAGGTTGACTGTTGAAGAGAAGTTGAGTTTGCACACAAAGCCTGACCTCACTGTAAATAGCCACTTACCGCAGGCCCTGTGTCTCTCATGGGGAAAAGAGGAAGACTTTTCAGTTAAGAAACATTTGTAATAAACACTTCTCTAGCTCAAGCTAGTTCCTCTCTTTCCCTTCCCTCGCTCACCGCACAACTCAACTCTCACAACACAATGCAACACCCTGTGACCTCTCCCTTTCTCCCTCACTCTCTCTCCACAAACCACCCACCACTAATCTCCGACCCAGATGTGAGAGCGAGTGTGTGTGTGTCAGAAACCCGTCGTCATGATCAGCTGGGTGTCTGACACACTCACACAACACATGCAGAAACCCATCACCATTGCTTGAGAGTGTCCAAACCTAACTGAGAATTCCCTGCATCCCATTTACACACGGAAATCCCAGAGATAGATTGTCAGGATGGGAGGCGCTCTCTCTCTCTCTCCCTCTCTCTTCCTGGAGGGACGCTCCGTGCTTACCTAATTCCAGAGAGTATTCGGTGCAGGTTTTCGAGAGCCAAGGCTTGGGGGGGAGCCCAGAGTGTGCGTTGGGGGTAACTGCTGGAGGCTAACCAGCTAAACCCACACACAGCTTGGCCATTGAGAGAGAGAGAGAGAGAGAGCTGTCTGGCCAAGCTTTCCCACTGCTTGTCCAGCTTGGACCTCCCTCCTAGTTAGTTAGTTAGGGCTTTGGCTGCGGGGTTAACAGAGCTGAGGAGGAGGATCCTTGCCCCCAATGACTGGTCGGCCCTTCCAGGTCCTGCCCATGAGCCAGGCCAGGCTGGGCTGCCATCAGCAGTGCTTTGGGGGATGGGGTTGGGGGGTTGGGCAGGGATGGGGGCTGGGGGTTGGGGCCTCAGTGAGGAGAGTCAGGCTGTGCTTGTGTTTGTTACAGGAGAAAGGGATCTGTGAACTGTGCAAGAAGATTGCGCAGCAGGTGCTGACACTGGCTCAAAGTAAGGACGTGCAGGTAAGAGTCGTCACCATGTCTGTTGAGTATGCAGTGTGTGTCCGTGTACAGTGCGTGACAATTGCGTGTCCGTGTACAGTGCATGTTGTGATCCTGGCTCCTGTGTTGGCAGCAACGCTTGACGAACATTCTACACAAGTTGTGTAGCCTGGTCCCTGTCCCTCTGTGGGCGAAGCAATGCAACAGTTATGTGGACGGTTTGCTCCCTCTCGCCTTCCAGTTCTTGAACAAAATGGTAATGTCCGCACAGTCTCTCCGCCTCGCAGTCTCTCCGCCTCGCAGTCATTCCGCTTCGCAGTCACTCCACAAAAGGAGGCCATTCGGGCCATCGTGCCTGTGCTGGTTCTTTGAAAGAGCTACCAACTAGCCCCACTCCCCCACTATTACCCCAACTAGTGCCACGTACTCACCCGCTCTTACTCCCAACTAGTTCCACTTCCCCGCTCTTATCCCAACTAGTGCCACTTCCCCATTCTTACCCCACAGCCCTGCACATTGTTCCTCTTTAAGTCCCTATCCAATTCCCTTTTGAAAGCCGTGCGTTCCAGACCGTAACAACTCTCTGTGAAAAAAATAAAAATGTCTCCTCGTCTGGTCTCCCCTCTGGTTCTTTTGCCAAATATCTTAATTCTGTGTCCTCTGGTTACCAACTCACCTGCCAGAAGAAACAGTTTCTCCCTATTTACTCTTATCAAAACCCCTCGTAATTGTGACATCCATTAAATCTCCCCTTAAACCGTGTCTGCTGTAAGGAGAACAGTTCCAGCTTCTCTGGTCTGTTCTCCTCATAAACTGTAGTCCCTCACGTCGTGTTTCTCTTCCTGTTGTTGTCATCAGAAGCCTGATGAGCTGTGTAAGATGCTGTATCTGTGCAAATCTAACAGTAAACAGGATAATCAGCCCCATCTCGCCTCCAGCCCACAGGACATCTCTCTTCTGCTTTCCAACAAAATTCCGACCCAACCACAGGTATGTCTAAAGTTCGCACCAGTTCTCTGCCCCAGCCTACAAAGTACACAGTCACTGCACATCACAGTGTGTCCTGTGAAGCAGTTTGAGATGTCTTGACAATGTAAAAGGTGCGAGGATTATTGTGATGTTACAACAATGACAATTACATTTACACGTCGCCTTTCACGTCAGGAGGACGTCCCAACTCACTGGACAGTTGATGGTTTGCCCATGTGCTGGGGTTTGGAAGCCAATGGGTTTGGGGGGAAGAGTTGACTGAAGGCGGCAACAACAACAACAACAAATTACGTGACATTTTCACGTCGGGAGGACGTCGCTCAAGGTGCTGGACAGTCAGGGCTTGGGTCGGGGTTTGGGATCAGGAGGGACAGACAGAAAGAGAGACAGAGAGAGAGAGAGAGACAGACACAGACAGAGAGAGAGAGAGCCTGATTGTATGTCTCCTGCAGGCTCAGGCACACGCTGTCTGTGTGTACCTCGCGGTGGAGCTGGATCACTTTTTGAGCAAGAATGAAACTCAGGTAAGTCTGAGTATTTAGTTACCAGCCTGTGCCCCCAAGTCAGGAGGTCGTGATTACGAACCCCCTCTCTCCCCCCCCCCCCCCCCCCCCCCCACACACACACACACACACGCGCGCGTTGGGGACTCTGAGCTCACAGTCCAGGCTGACTCTCCAGCCCAGCGCTGGGAGGAGAGAGAGAGAGAGAGAGAGCGTCACATTGTCAGAGACGATGAAAAGTTAAACCTCACTCGCTCTCCCATCTGTGCTCTGTTCAGGGGGATGTTAAAGATCTCCTGTGGGAATGTTTGTGGAGTCCTGTAGCTCAGTGGTGAGAGCCCTCGCCCTGTAAACGAGAGGACCCGGGTTTGATTCCTGGGCGGGTCAGGGTGAAACCTTAGTTTCCTTAATCCCCACAAACACACACACACACAGGGTCTTTCCTGTGACAAGGAAAATATTAATATATTAGAATTATTACACGGTTGTTGTTATTAATATTATTACATGATTATTATTGTTAATATTATTACGTAATTATTATTGTTAATATTATTACATGATTGTTGTTATTAATATTATTATATGATAATGGCAGCTTGCCCTCCTGGAGGGGCTGAGCAAGCTGTGCTCCCAGCTGCCCGAAACTCTGTCAGCTCAGTGTGAGGAGATTGTGAAGGAACACGCGAAGAGCGGCCTGGAGAGGATCGTGAGCCTGGTCACCCCCCAAGCTGTGTGCTCTGCCCTGCACAGCTATCTCCTGCTGGACAACAGCAGTGGGGAGATGGGACAAGAGTACTTCCCAAATGGTCTGTGTTTAGGTTTCCTTATTCACTGCATGTCTGTGTGTGTCTACATGTCTGTGTGTGTGTGTAGTGTAGTCTGTGTGTGTGTGTGTAGTCTGTGTGTGTGTGTAGTGTAGTCTGTGTGTGTGTAGTCTGTGTGTGTGTCTATCTGTGTGTGTGTCTATCTGTGTGTGTAGTGTTGTCTGTGTGTGTGTGAGAGTGCTACATGTCTGTACCCTGTTCAGGCAGACATTAAAAATCTCCCGTGGAGCTGTTGGAAAGGAGAAGGAGTTCCTCTCTCTCTCTCCCAGTGTCCTGGCCGACAATCCCCCAGATTAAAATCGCTCGCTCGCTTCACGGCTGTTTGGGGGGACATCGCTGTTCGCAAATTGGGCTGCCCACCAAACACACAGTCACCGCACTTTACAGTGAGATCCCGTGAAGCGCTTTGAGATGTCCCCCCGAGGTGAATGGTGCTGTGTTAAATGTAAGGAATATTTTAATTACATTGTAAAATCCTCCATTTGTACTTGTTTTTCAGACATACTCTAGGGGCGAGAAGAGAATTTGCCTGAACCAATCGCCAGCACGGAACAATCGCAACGCCTATCCCGAGCCGAAGTGACTCGAGAAAACTTCTAGAACGCAAGAAAGAAAAGAGGGGGGGAAAAAAGGCAACCTTGAATCTCGCTGGCTTGCAAAGTAATTCAGGGTCTTTCCTGTGGGTAGGAAAATTCTGTCCTAAAAGCAGCTTTTTGTAGGTTTTCTTTGGAAAAAAAAGAGAAATGGTTTTGCTAAACGGTTACATCAGCTTAGAATGCGATTACTTCAGAGGCCGAGTCACAGAACAGAACAAAACAGAACTTCATAGAATTATACGGCACAGAGGGAGGCCATTCGGCCCATCATGTCTGTACCGCTCTTTGAAAAGAGCTTCCAAATCAACCCCACTCCCCCGCTCTCTCCCCATAGCCCTGTAAACTTGTCCTCCCCAAATGATTATCTACTTCTCTCTTAAAAGTTGTTATGGAATCGGCTTCCACCGGCCTTTCAGGCAACACATTCCAGATCCCAACAACTCGCTGTGTGAAAATGTAAAGAAAACCTAACAGTTCCACATGAGACTTGGAAGGACTCACAGACTCTCAACCCCAACCCAAACCCATCCCGACCCCCACCTCCCAATGGGCTGCTATGTGTGTCTCCCTATAGCAACCAGACAAATAGCTTGAGTATAATGGGATGAGTATAGGGGTGTCTCCAGCGTAGCTGCACTCACTCGCTCCAGCTAAAACTGTCCAGAAGTCATGCCTCAACCACTTACTAATCTGCTTGAATAAAACTCTTTTTGCTGGTTACTGACTTGCTGATCAAAGTGAAAGGTCTCCAGTCGTGATCCGAAAAAGGGGCAGAGGGATTAAGGGATAGAGCCCCAAATGTGGATGCGTTTGCGTGTTTGTGTGTCTACAAGTCCGTGCATTTTACTCGCACGCCACAGAAATGTCCTGTTAAAAGTCCCCTATTGACATTCACCAACCAACACTGTGTCGACTGCCAAAGGCCAGTGGGAATCTGGAGCTCTCTCTCCTTCCCTCACCCAAAAGGCTGTGGATTATGGCTGAATCCATTCACATTGTCCAGACTGAGAGGTGGTGATGTGTGTTGGCTCAGGGGATACGGGGCAAAGCCGGGTAATTGGAGTTGAGGTACAGATCAGCCATGATCTAACGGAATGGTAGAACAGGCTCGAGGGGCTGAATGGCCTCCTCCTGTTGCTCTGTTCCTTTGTCAAAGCCGCGCAGATCCGAGCTTCTGGCACTGGGTGGTGATCGGGAGCTATCGGCATTGCTGAGCCATGTCCTGCTGTTCCCCATTGTGGCCACACGGTGGCAGCGCGTTGAACTGTGATCAGTCAGTGAGTGAGTCAGGTATCGGGGACCTCAGTACAGTACAGAGTCACAGCTGCTGAGAGCAGCAGCAACAACTTACACTGAGAGAATGCCCTTCAGCGGGGGCTGGACTGGGGGCTGTGCTGGACTGGGGGCTGTGCTGGACTGGGGGCTGTGCTGGACTGGGGGCTGTGCTGGGCTGGGGGCTGTGCTGGACTGGGGGCTGTGCTGGACTGGGGCTGTGCTGGGCTGGGGGCTGTGCTGGGCTGGGCTGGGGGCTGTGCTGGACTGGGGGCTGTGCTCTGCTGGGGGCTGGACTTTGCTGAGCTGGGGGCAGTGCTGGGGTCTGGGCTCTGTGCTGGACTGGGGGGCCTGAGCTGGGCTGGGGGCTGTGCTGGACTGGCTGGGGGCTGGGCTGGACTGGCTGGGGGCTGTGCTGGACTGGCTGGGGGCTGGGCTCGGGGCTGTATCAACACATGTGGAAACCCATCACCAAGCTGAGAATTCCAGACCTCTCACCTACACATGGAAATCCCAGAGATAGATTGTTGGAATGGGATGCGCTCTCTCTCTGGAGGGACGCATCCTGCTTCCATAATTCCGGAGAGTATTAAGCACAGATTGGCGGGAGCCAAGGCTTGGGAGAGTCAAGAGTTAGTTAGGACTTAGGCTGCAGGGTTAACAGGAGCTGAGTGGGATGACTCTGTCCCCAGTGACTGTTCGGCCCTTCCAGGTCTCGCTGATGAGCCAGGCTGGGCTGTGCTGTCATCAGCAGTGAGTGCCCAGGAATACTGTGGTCCTGCCTCAGGAACCGGACTAGAGACCGTCACAGAGAGGGGGGGCTCGATTCCCACATTCCGTTGCCAAACAGGTCACCTTGGAGCCTGTTCAGTTAAGGAGATGAACCTTGAGATAGAGTTTGAACGAGGGGAGGGAGGGACTGAGTCGATGGTATGAACGTAAGAACATAAGAACTTGCTGGAGAAAGAAGACCAAGGACCATCCAGTTCGCCTTCCAACGTCCTGGCCATCGCTTGACATGTCGTGTCTCAAACTATACACTGTATCGACATTGAGACATCTCTCGCTGATGTGATGAGGAGCTGTAGCAAATGCAAGGATTACTGTGATGATGGGTGTTCTGGGTGAATGGTGGGGAAGAGGGGATGGGAGGGAGAGAGGGGAGAGAGGAGGTGGGGAGGGAGGGGAGACCGCGGGGTATTGAGTATGTGGCTGTGATAGGCTGGAGGCCGAGGAGGAAGCTCCTATATAAGCAGCAGCTCAATGCTGGGAGAGGAGCAGTGAGCTGTGCTGTAAGAAGCAGAGATGGCCACCCTGACCCTCCTCAGCTTGTTGTGCTTGGCCACAGGTAAGGCAGTCACTGGGGTCAGGTAGTCACCCCGCTCAGCTCCTAGCGGGGAGGGTGGTCCTAGCTGGACAAGCAGTAGGAAAGCTTGCCAGTCAGTGATATCAATAGCAAGCTAATACGGTTTTAGCTGGTTAGACTCCAGCTCTTACCCCCCCAACGCACAATTGGCTGCCGCGTTTCACCCACAAAACGCACAGTAAATTCACTTTGCGGTATATTGTGTGAAGCGCTTTGAGACGTGAAAGGCGCTGTACAAATGTAATTTTGTTGTGTTAACTGTGACTGTGTTAATAATAATCCTTGCATTTGATAACAGCACTTTTCACATCTACTCAACGTCTCAAAGCGCTTCACAGAATAGACTGTAAAGTGAATTGACTGTATATATTTGTTGGAGAAATGCGGCAGCCAATTGCGCAGAGCAGCGTCCCCACAAAGAGTCATGGATTTAAAATGAACAATTTATTATTTTGTTTTGTCCTGTTCCTGTTGAACAGGATGCTGCAGACTGATGCATGTTTGTTGCTCAAAAGGTGTAAGAATAGTATAAGAATATCAATATACCGCAGACGCAGGTAAGTCCATGGTCGGGGAGGTGTCTGCGCTGGCTCTGAAGTTTGGCTTAAGTCGGCTTGTCGTTGCCTCAGCAATGACTTCAGTGAAGTTCACATAAGTCCTATCAGGCGGTACCAACAACAACTGATATTTACACGGAGCCTCTCACATTGGGAGGACGTCCCAAGGGTCTTGAGACGTGCATTGAAGGAGGCGAGGCGGAGGGATGGATTTTCAAAGGGGGTGGGGGCAGAGAAGCTGAAGGGTGGGCGTAGAAGGCGATTAATACGAGTTAGGAGGTGACTTTTACGACTAAGTGTGCAAAGAAATCTGGGATTTGATAGGAAACTGAATTAGGACTCGGGTAAATGTGAGACTTGGGCATTTACACGATTGGTAACGACTGATGTGAATTTTACTTTCTAACCGTATAGCGACTCACACCAGCACAGGAACCTATATGTTGTGTATTCTCTTACAGGCCACAACTAGGAAAAGAGTGACTGAAAACCGTGACAAATACCAGGAGGATATACTCCAGAGTATTGAGCCATAACCGATGATACTCTTGCTGCACCGCTGAGACAATTTTGGTCCCACAGGTTTTGAGAGATCAGTGCATTTCCCTACCCGTGTGCAGTTGAGGTAAGTAATAACCTTTTATATTTTACACAGCGCCTTCCACATCGGGAGAACGCGTCCTAAAGCCCTTCGCCAGACGCACTGCAAAGTACTTGTGTGTTTTGTGGGTGAAACGCGGCAGTCAACTGCGCACAGAGTTTAGCGAGCGCTCAAATCACTCGGACTGAAACCCGAGATGCTGTCCTGTGCCTTGATAGGGACACCAGAACATTCAGCCCCTCGAGCCTGTGCCGCCATTCGATTAGATCATAGCTGATCTGAACCTCAACTCCATTTACCCACCTTTGCCCCGTATCCCTCGACCCTCACACACATCTATCCACCTCAATCTAGACAGTGTGAATGGATCCACAGCCTTTAGGGGGAGGGAAGAGAGTTCCAGATGAATAATAATCTTTGCATTTGATATTCCCCACGTGATAATCAGTGTTAAATGTGCACAAGTATTTTGGTTTTGAGTTTGGCCAAATTAAGCTTTTTATTCTCAGCGCTATAACCAGTTGGTTTCCATTTGTTGTGCAGCTCATTCGCCCGGATTTTCTAACAGCGATTTGATTGTAATAATAGTCCTCACGTTTGATACAGTGCCCTAATCACGTCGCGGAGATGCCTCAAAGCTCTTTGCAGAACACACTGTAAAATGGAGTGACTATTTTATGGGGCCCTTCGCGCCCAGCGGTGTCCCAAAGTTGTGGATTGAGTGACTGAATTATTGTTGTATATATTTTTTTACCCCTTCAAAGCAATCCACCAGTTGTGTGGAGTAAAGAAACTTGCTCAACGTTTCGTCCTGCCCAATGGAACACAGGTCTTCTCACTTGAGAGGCGAATGCTGTAACCACTACACAACAGCGCTCCATCACGTAACAATATATAGTTGGAATGGAGTTTATTGCACCAGTGAGACTGCAGCTCTGTGGCTGCTTTCAGTTGCACGGCACGTGACCTTATACACAGAGCAGGTCAGTGTCTGAGCACAAGGATTCCTGCAAAATAAAATTGGGGAAATTGTGGGCACAATACTCTCAGTTAAACACGAGCTGTTTCTCCTCCCAATTAGCTGCTGGCACTAAGGACAGGGCTGGGCTGCTGGGTTTAGCCCAGGACATGGGGAGCTTAACCCTCACAGCTGGGAATGTAGTTAGGAAACCACAGCACAATAAGGCCTTGAATTCCATCACAATTCACTCACTAAAGGCACAAAGGCCTCCAGAGCTGCTTAAAGCATTGCACCACATGGCTCAGGCCTAAAGGCTGTGAAGCATCAAGTCACGAACAACAAGAAGTTGGAAGTTGACCCAGTGCCTTATCACACCGTCGAGACGTCTCAAAGCGCTTCACAGGATACACTGTAGATTGACTGTACATTTTGTGGTGAAGCACAGCAGCCGATTGTGCTCTGCGCCTCTCCCCCTCCCCACAAACAGAAATCACTCGTTTATGGAGAACCTAGTACTTTTATTGGAAAAGATTTCAAGACAAGTAGTTTTGGACTTCTTGATGACAGACATACGTAATAACCAAGTTAACAAAAAGGCACTTCACGCTCACAGCGGCCTGGGAAAGCCTGTAAACAAGCCCGCTTCTCTGTACAACACGGGCCAAGGTGCTTTCCTCTCGGCCACTGCACTCGCTCGCCCCTCCCTGTGTTTAACACCAGCCAGACCCCCTCTTGTAGGTTTGGACCCAAGGGCTTTCTGTAGGACACCCCGGTCTCTACTCTAGGGAGACTGGAACTGAAGGAATTTGCAATATAATTTAAAAAAAATCTCGTCAAAGCTGGCTCCTGAGCGCCGGCCTGGCTTCTCTGTAGCTACACCAGGCGAGGCTCAGAGTACAATAAATAGCAACGTGATAGGATTCAAGTATGAAGGTTTCTCTAAGCCCAGTGTCGCGGCCTCTCTGGTTTCTCTGTATCACACCAGATACCAGCAGACAATTGGCATTGTCCGTCACACTCCAGGACACTGTCTGTGCGTTTATGGATTATTGTTTTCTAAAATATACGTCTTTCTTATAAAGAAAATACCACTAGAACCCAAACAAAATTAAGTGTGCAACGCAGACCCCTGGGAGTCTCCTGACTTCTCTGTATCACGTCAAGGCTTTACCAGGGTCTGTCTGTCCCAGAGAGAGAGAGAGAAAAATAAAAAGGAGAGTTTAAAAATGAGGTTTGGCTAGTGCAGAAACAACGATGCATAGCTGTTGTTAACTCCTAAAAACCCTTTGTTTATAAAAATCATTACGTAAGTCCTCCAAACAAAACTAGGGGAAAGATTAAAGAGAATGTGATGTGTTCAAATGAATCTCTTGCGGTGGGGCGGGGAAGAAACTGGGGCTTTTTAAAGAGTGTCAGGAGAGAGAGAGGGAGGGAGAGAGAGAGGGGGAGAGAGAGAGAGAGAGGGGGAGGGAGAAAGAAGACTCCAAATTACTCATGAACTTAGTTAGCTTCAAACCTTGCTCTGACTGTTCTGAATTCAGTCTCGATTGTGAAGTGCTTTTCGGCACAGTCAGACAAGTCTCCAAATGCACAAGTTTTCACCAGCCTTCTCCCCCCTCTTCACAAGCTCTTTAAAAATAAACTAAGAACAGGAGGAATTCTGGGGTCATGTAACAGCAAGAGATCAGGACTCACTTCACAACATACACCATACATACGAGACATGTCCTCAATTACGGGGGGGTGTGGGGGCAGTAATAGGTTATCGCCTTGTTGTAAGCAACAGGACTAGCTTTACATGGAGTGGAATGGGGGGGCGGGGGGGGGGGGGGGGAGAAGGGAGGGAATAAGCAAAGCTTCGAGCAGAATAAGGCTATAAGCGACGACAGTCACCTCGGACAGATGCAAACCTGACTCGTTCCAAGCGATGGTCCCGGGAATCCCTTATCCTGAACACATCACAGCAACACCATGACCAGCACAAGGGGTAAGCATAAGCAAGGGGGTGGGGGGTAATGTCAGAACTATTGCCACCGTGGAGATGGTTTGAGGATAGACAGGATATTAAGAGGTGGCCTTTCTCCCACAGAGACTCTGTAGCTTCTCTGTATTATACACTGACAGTGTCTGGGGAGAAAGACTTAACACTCAGTATTTTAGTTTCTTAGGCACTTCCCAGGGGAAGCTATCCCTACCAAAGTGGCCATAGGCAGCAGTCTTCTGGTAAATCGCCTTCTTCAGATCCAGATCCCTGGAGAACACATTCAGAGTTAATAATAATAATCCTTGCATTTGATACAGTGCAGCGTCATGGCTTCAAGACATCTCACAAAGCGCTTCACAGGGATACACTGTAAAGGTTTCACCCTGACCCGTCTGGGAATCGAACCCAGGTCCTCTCGCTTGCAAGGAGTGAGCTCTTAAATCACTAAGTTAGGGTGGTCCTAGCTGGATAAGCAGCAAGAAAGCTTACCAGGCAGTGGTCGCAATAGCAAGATGTACTGTTTTAACTGTTAAATTCCAATAGTGCCCTAATAAGGACCCGAGCCTAGTTTCTGGTCAGCCTGTGCTTAATACTCTGCAGTACAGTACACCTGTAGGTAAGCATTCCCCCCCCCGGGGGGAGGGAAGAGAGATAATGCACATTCTATTCCAGCCAGGAGTCTCCAAACGGAGGTGACACACGGATGAGGAACTCAAGTCTGCTGTGGTTACTGGCTGATGGGTTGAGCACACAGCTGATGCAGTAAGTAAGAAGGTTTGATATACCTGACAATCACACCAGGGCGCAGGTCAAAGTTCTTCTTCACAATCTCCAGCAGCTCTTTCTCGCTCAGTTCTGAGGTTCCGTACGAGAAGATGGAGATCGAGAGGGGGTGAGCCACTCCTATGGCGTAAGACACCTAAACCCAGTATGTAACAGTCACTACAGCCACCTGGCTGCCGCCTCCTACACTAACAATTATCCTTGCATTTGATACAGCGCCTTATCACATATTCGTGCCATCTCAAAGCGCTTCGGATTATATCGTAAAGCGAATTGACTGAATATTACTGTAAGTGAAAAAGACGGCAGCCAACTGCGCACAGCAACGTCCCACAAACAGTTGTGGATTGAGAGACCAAATTATGTATTAATTATTTTTTGGGAGGGATCATTCCCCCGGGGAAGCGATTCACCAATTGAAGAACAACCAGATTCCTACTTACTGCAATGTAATCAGAGGCTCGCGGTGTGCGTGTGTGTGTGGAGTAAAGAAACTTGCCTAAGGTTTCGCCCAGGAATCGAGCCCAGGTCCTCCTGCGTGCGAGGCGAGCGCTCTAACCACTGAGCTACACACGACTCCACCGTACAGAGCTGCGCAAAGACTGGGCAGGACACCAAGCAGGAGAAGGGGAGGGGGCGGAGGGTAAGAGAAGGTGGGGGAAGGGAGGCAGGTTTTGAGACAGACAGAGGCCAGGGGTAGAGGGAAGAGCTTGCAGTGGGTGATCAGGAAGACGAGCACGGGCTGTCTGCCGTGCCACCTACCTGCACGAGGACCCTGCGGCACAGGCCAGCCCGCACCAGGGACTTGGCCACCCAGCGGGCAGCGTAGGCGGCCGAGCGGTCCACCTTAGTGTAGTCTTTGCCAGAGAAGGCCCCGCCTCCGTGGGCTCCCCAGCCTCCGTAGGTATCCACGATGATCTTCCTGCCCGTCAGACCAGCGTCGCCCTGAACAACAGGTTCAACGGCAACACGAGCGTTTGCAAGATTACTAAACAATTCAAAGAATCTGCTGAGGTGTTTGCCCCCTTAATCTAATCCCCCCCCACCACCACCCCGGCACAAAACCCCTTCCTCTTTCCGAACAGCGCCGTGGGATCTTTCGCGTCCACCTGACCAGGCAAACGGGGAGTGTGGTTTAACACCTCATCCGATTCAGACAGAAAAAGGAACGCACGGATACGAGGGAGGGGGGAGTTCCAGAGGTTAAGAGCGGTAGGAACTGAAGGCTTAAGTCACCCCCGGCGTCATTGTGTACAAGCGAGCAAAGCGCACGGTGGGCGGTGACAGCCAGCGGTGAGTGTGTGCGTGCGGGGCTGGCTTCCTCTCTACCCGAGCCGCGAGCCACACCAGCGAGTAGAAAACCAGCTGTAGCCACCTGTGGGCCCCCGATGACGAAGCGACCGCTGGGCTGCAGGTGGTACACGGTTTCCTGGTCCAGGTATTTGAGCGGCACCACAGCCTTCACCACCTTCTCCTTCAGGGACTCTCGCATCTTCTCCAGAGACACCTCCTCATCATGTTGCACAGACACCACGATGGTGTGCACCCGGATAGGGATCACAGCACCGTGATCCTGCAGGTACTGCACAGTCACCTGTGGGTTAACAGAGAGAGAGAGCTCAGCGAGCAAACCACTGACCTCTGTCCTGCCCTCCCTCCTGGGATTGTTTTACTGTTAGTATCACAATCCATCACTGTGTGGGGAGATACAGCTGTGCACCATTGGCTGCTTGTTGTAAGCATTCGGCAACAGGACTCCACATTTCGCCGACGCTCCCTGGGGGATGGGGTCTGCCTGTGGGACAGGTTTTACGCGCAGAAAGCGACGAGTCTCACCTGAGTCTTGGAATCGGGCCGGAGCCAGGGCAGGGTCCTGTCACGTCGCAGCTCAGCCATCTTAGCGTTCAGCTTGTGGGCGAGGACAATAGTCAAGGGCATGCACTCCTCAGTCTCGTCAGTTGCATAACCAAACATAAGGCCCTGTGTGAGGGGACGAGGAGGATGGGGTGGGAGGAAAACAAAGCAGGCATCTTTAACACTGCAAGGTAACGAAAACACTTCCCACACACACCAGCAGCAGAACATCGGAACAAGATTTAACTCCTAACTGGCCTGGCTCTAACTTTAAGATGATGTCCCCTTTTTCTGGATCCCCCACCCACCAGAGGAAATAGTTTCTCTGTATCCACCCAATTGATTGCCTTTATCATCAACAAGATCAACCCTCAAAACTCACAGGAATACAGACAGGATTTATACCTGGTCCCCAGCACCGATGTCCTCCTCATTCCTGTCCAGGTGAACGCCCTGAGCAATGTCCCGAGACTGCTGCTCCAGAGCAACCAGCACATTGCAGGTTTTGTAGTCAAAGCCTAAACACAAGAGAAAGGTTTGCTAAGTCACTTTCAAACTTTTTCCCAACGTGAAAGGTACTGAACCACATACAAGTTGTTATATAAACAAAGGCCTCTGTAGCAGATACACACCTTTGGAAGAATCGTCGTATCCAATGTGCTTGATGGTTTCACGTACAATTGCCTGGTAGTCAACAGTCGCCCTGGAAGTAATCTCCCCGCACAGCAAAATCATCCCCGTCTTCGCAACAGTCTCTGGAAAGCAAGAGATCCATTCATGACTGCTCTCGCCACACCACAGCTGATAATTCACATTCTGCATTATTCACACCAAATCAAGCTCTTCCAAAAGAAAGCCTTCAACTTAATCCTAAAGTAGTTAAGCAATCTTTGTCACCACCTCCATTGGCCTAACCAGTTTGAGATAAAAATTGCTAACTGAATGAGTGTTCATTAAACCCTTTACAATCAATCATCTTGCCCCCCCACCTCTCCCCCGTAGTAATGGAGAGACTACGTGCAGCATTGCAGGTTTACGTTGAAAGCCTTAGGGAAGGAACACTGAACAAAATAGGCACGTTCACATTTAAATACCTAGCAGTTAAATGCTCACCGTGATTCAGCATTGAAACGATTGCAAAGGTGAACAATGTCAAGGCATCACAGGAATTCACAGCTCATTTCCATAACTTACCACAAGCAACTTTTGCATCTGGGTCTTGTTTGAGATGAGCATCCAGCACAGCATCGCTTATTTGATCACAGATTTTATCTGCAAAAACAAGACCCAATTTAGCCAGCCAAACGCTATAAAACTACTATAAAATTTGATTACCATTTTTTTCCCCCCCAAACCAGGGAAAACAAACTGTACTTGATTCGCTGTGAAAGGCTGACTTATTTTGCCTGTATTATTTCAGTCACGTTGGGCATAAACAAAAGTGCAACACACTCCGCTTTGTTGCCCGCGTCAACAGAAACTGGACGTGATCCTAGAAATTAAAAAAAGGGTTTTGCGGTGGTTTGGCGACACGAGAGAATCCCAAACGAATGCCTGTGTGTGCGCGCGTGGGGGGGGGGGGGGGTGTGTGGGGGGGTCGTGTGCGAGATGGTTGGATCTCACACCCACCACCCAATCCCGTGACCTGCACAAACCACATCCAAGACTGCCTGTGGGACGCCGCTGCCGCGTTCCGCCCGCAAAACACGCAGTCACTCGACCTCACGGCGGGCCCTGCGCAGCGCTTCGAGGCGTCCCGACGAGGCGATGGGGCGCCAGGTCAAACGCACGGATTGTCATCACCGTCGTCGCCGTCCTCCGTAACCTCTAAATATTACGACCTTTCGCAGCGGAATCTCTCTCTCGGCGCTCAAAACGCACACCGGTCCCCCCCCCCAACCCCCCACCCTCGGGGTCGGGCGAAGCTCGGAGTGAGGACCAAACCAACCAACACCTCAGCCCTTTGCCTCAAGACTTCCACCACCACCAGAGCAGCCACGTTTGCTGTCCCCTCATGTCAAGCCGGCGGCTCCCTCCATTGGCCGGCCGAGCTGTCACTCAACGGGGGAGGGGGACTGACAGCCAGAGGGCGGCGAGCGATTGGTCGGCGCTCGCACTCCCGTCCCGCCCTCCCCCCCCATCACCCGAATCCCGATTGGCTCCGGGGGAGATCGACAGCTTCGAGCCGGGGCTCCCATTGGTCAGAGCGGGTGTCAATCAACCACCACGTGGGGGCGAGGGAGAGGAGTCCCGCCCCCCCCGGGTCCCGAGACGGTTAAAAAAAAGCCGCTGAGGCAAATGGCGCCGAGCGAGAGCCTCTGTAGAATGGGGGGGGGGGGGGGGGGGCGTTAGCCAGAGCGCGGGGACGGGAGGGGGTTACGTGATGATACCACATCCAGGCCGTTACCCCCCCCCCCTCCCGCCCCGAACACCCGGTCCCGCCCTATAAACCGGGCCCCGTTTTGCGCCCCCAAAAAAGGAAACCGTCGCGTCGCGTGGCCGCCGCGTGAGGAGACGAGACAAGGCCGCGAGACCCCCCCCACCGACACCCCCCCCTCCTCCTCCCCCCACACCCCCACCCGCCCCCCTCAGCTCGTCAGTCACACATCCACTCCGACTCGACTCCGCCCCTCCTTCTCTCTCTCTGCCTTCCCTTCTCCTCCTTTCTCTTCTCAGGCGACGGCCGTTGTCCGGTGCCGATCGACCGCTCCGCTCGCGCCAAAAAGCCGGAGGTGTGTGTGTGGGGGGAAGAGAGGGAGAGGGGGGGGCGGTGGGGGGGGGGGCTGCGCGGAAGTCAGGCGCATGCGCGGCCGGCGAGTTGCCATGCCGACCAGACCCCCCCCCTTCTCCCTCTCTCTCTCTCTCCGCCGCCGCCGCTCACCTGGATGACCTTCTCCCACCGACTCGGAGGTGAAGAGGAACGTCCTCTCGTCCAGCAGCGACTCGTGGAAACCGTTGATCTGACCGTTCATGGTCTCGCCGGGCGGAGAGAGTCACGTGAGTGCGTGCGGGTAGATGGTGGGGGGCGGGCGGGAGGGGGGGTGACTGACTGGCGGAGGTGGGGAGTGTGCGTTTGGCGCGACAAGGAAGGAGCGAGAGAGAGAGAAAGTGAGAGAGACAGTGAGTGCCGGGCCCGCCTTCCGCTGACCGCACAGACCGGCTGCTGGGTGCAGAATATGGCAGGCGAGCCGCGGCGCCGCGCTTTATATACGGCCCGGGGACCGCGCCACTCCGCCGCGGCGCGGGGGGGGGAACCGCGCCCCCGCCCGCCCCTTCCCGCCGCGCGATCAGCGCGAAGCCGCCGCCCCTCTCCCCCCGCGCCTCCGGCCGAACGTGGACTGCTCCGTGGGAGCCGTGCGGGGCCGCGGGGGGGGCGGGGCGACGCGTCGGGTCACGTCAATCACCACGTGTTGCTCCAAAATGCCGCAGTGAGGCGCAGTGTAGGGGGGACAGAGAGGGGGGAATGGGGGGGAGAGAGAGGGGGGGAATGGGGGGGGAGAGAGGGGGGGAATGGGGGGGGAGAGAGGGGGGGGAATGAATAGGGGTGTGGGAGAGAGGGGGGGAAGAGAGAATAAATAGAGGGGAGAGAAGGGGGAGGAATAATGGGAGGAGAAATGGAGAGGGGATGAATAGCTGTGGGAGAGAGAGAGAGGGGGAAGAAATTAATAGGGGAGGGGGAAGAGAGGAAATAAATGGGAGAGGGGGAGAGGGAATAATAGGTGGGGGGGAAACCCAGAGAGGGCGCATATTTGCATCCTCTCTTCCTCGCCCTAATCATTGTGACCAGCGACGTTTCTGGTTATCTTTCTGCAAAGAAGGTTTGGCTAATGCCACAGAATCCTCCCAGTCACGTGTACAATCGCGGCCTCTTATAAATAACGATAATAAGGACAATCCTCGCGTTCGATATAGCGCTTTTCACGTCTTCTCGACGTCTCAGAGCGCTTCACAGAATAGGCTGTAAAGTGAATTGACCGTATATTTATGGGTGAAACGCGGCAGCAGTGTCCCCGCAAACAGTCGTGGTTTGAAAATGAACAATTTATTATTGTGTTTTATTTTGGAGGGTTTATTATTATTATTATTAGGAGTGTGGAGTATTAGGCGTGTGCCCAAGGTTTCGCTCTGCCTGGAACTGGACCCAGTTCAGTTCAGTCTCGCTTTTCACAGAGCAAACCTGGTTTACAATACAATACAGTATTATATTTACAGGATGTCTTTCACCTCGGGAGGACGTCCCAAGGCGCTGGACAGTGAAGGGCTTAGCGTAAATTATAAAAGCTGCTGTGGATTGAGGGGGACTGGGGGTGATCAATGGATCAATGGATGCGAATCTACCAAATCTGCTTTGTTAGTAATAACAAAAAAAATTATATTTGTATAGTGCCTTTCACGTCGGGAGGACATCCCAAGGCGCTGGAAGGTACTAACTGCTTGATTTAGGTGTCAGTGTGCTTCAGCTGGGTCAGAAGGAGTCAGAGGTTTGAGGGTTCAATCCCCGCACTGGGAGCTCACATTTCCAGAGTGAATCTCCAGGGCAGAATCGGAGGTGCACTGCATTAAACCACGGCAATTCACATTTACACAGCGTCTCTCACATTGTTGGGATGATATCTCAAAATGCTTCACACTTCGCACAGCTGGTTGGGAGTCCGAGATGGTGGAGATGGTGGATCAGAACAGCAGTGGTCCTGCCTGGAACTGAGGGTGGAGGCAGAGAGACCCATGTGTTCAGTTGGACATTAAAGGTCCCATGACGCCATTGGAAAAGAGAAAGGAGTTTCTCCAGTGTCCTGGCCAACAATCCCCCAAATTAAAAAAAAATGTTACTTTACTCCATGGCTGTTTGTGGGACATTGCTGTGCTCAAACTATAGCTGCTGTGTTTCCCTATGAAGTATACTTCATGTCTGAAGTTTACAGTAATAATCCTGATCTCTTGATATGATAAGACGCTATCTCAAAAAAAGAAAGATCCTTGTTAAGTCTTTACTCCGAAATTCAAGTCTCTAAATTTGGATTTCATTCTGCGATGGAGAACGAAATTATGGTTCAAAACAATCTGAACGAACACGAAAATCCAAACGCCAAAACAGCAGCAAGTCCAATTTTACACCTAAAGTTCATTAAAATTCAGAAAGCAGAGCGAAGGACTAAGGTCTAAAGACCCCAATCCCTGCTTGACCCAGACACAGCTCACTCCCATGGTTATAATAATAGTAATTAACCTTGCATTTGATGTCACGTGTCATTGAGACGTCTCAAAGCGCTTCACAGAATATATTGTAAAGTGGAGTGACTATGTATTTTGTGGGAGAGATGCAGCAGCAAGTTTGTGCACAGCAGTGTCCCATAAACAGCCATGGAGTGAGTGTATATTTATTGGGCAATTTTTTTATCTATTCTGCTTCTATTCCTGTCCCCTGTTGTTTATGAGCAGATACTTACAAGATATTTTATTGAAGGAGTTATTATAATAATAATTGTTGCATTTAACACAGCACCTTTCATGTCAGGAGGTCATCTCAAAGTCCTTCACAGGACACACTGTGAAGTGTAGTGACTATATTTTGTGGATGAACAATGCAGATCAAACTACTTTAGTTGAGTCTGTCCTGCAAGTGGATGGCTCTTCAGGAAGAATAAAACCTCCCAATCTCGAGCCTCATTTGAGGGTGTTTAAATGTTCTGCTGATCAGCTTCCATCCACATATATATTGTATATTATTATTACTGTCCCTCAGTGATTTCAACATGTCTAAGTCACATCTGATCCCAGTCGTTGCTATAAGGATATCAGCTTCAGATCTGCCTCAAGCGCTTTGGGACGCTATCCTGCATGAGGGGCCCTATATAAATGCAAATTATTGTTCTTGTTGCATTTCCCTCTTAATTTACAGATTAACAACAGCAATTTACATTTATACAGCAGCCTTTCTTCAGGGGGATGTTTCACATTGCTTCACGCAGCTTGACCTTATGATAATAATCCTTATTTTTTTGGTCAGCCAAGTGTCTTACAAATGCGGAAACCCATCACCGTTGCTTATGTTAAGAGTCTCCAAACCCAGCTGAGAGTTCCCCACATCGCAGCTACACATGGGAATCCCAGAGGTAGATTGTTGGAATGGAATACGCTCTCTCTCTCTCTCCCTGGAGGGATGCATCTTGCTTACCTAATTCCAGAGAGTATTAGGCGCAGGTTGGCAATAGCCAAGGCTTGGGGGAGCCCAGAATGTGTGCTGGGGTAACTATTGGAGTCTTTGAGATGTCTCAATGATGTAATAAGGCGCTATACCAAATGCAAGGATTATTATATTATTATTGCCTAATGTGAAGGGGGCGATATAAATGCAAGTTGTTCTGGTCCCTCCACTCGTTGCCTAGAAGTTTGCCACAAGACATCAATGCAGAAGTGGGTCTATATATTACAAGGAGTGAAACTCGGCTTTTGACTAGGGTTACATTATTACCTTAAAAGCCTCTTTGCGTTAGACAGAGAAAATCAGACGGGGGAACCAGAATGTGTGGTAACTAACAGGTCCCCAAGGATACGAGGTTTCTAAGTGAGGTGATTGGTAGTTTTATTCCAGGCCTTGTAAGGAAGGCATCGAACACAGTACAAGTGTACGGGGGAGAGTGGTTTCATTGTTCAGATCGATGTTACAACTGCAGTTGCTTTAAAAGGAGCCTTCCCTCCCCAAACCGTCCAGAATATCTTAGTTCCAAACGGTGGGGGGATTTCCCTTCCCAAGGAACCTGGCAGCCAGTTTGCACACAACTACGCCCTACAAACAGCCGTGAAGTGACTGAGTGGTTTCTATCTGTTGGTCCCAGTTAGCAAAGGAAGGATGAAATCTCTAACAATGGAATGCACCTCCTGGCACTGCGGAGCCACAGCCAAGACCGTGGGTTAACGGTCCCTGACGATGGGGGCTTGAACCCACGACCTTCTGACTGAAAGACGAGAGGGGGAGGGTGCTACCAACTGAGCCAGGCTGGCAAGTCATTTAAATTCTAATCCACTTTCCCCTGACTGTAACCGGGGCTAAACGAGACGGCTGAAAACACATCGTGCAGAATCTTTCGCTTCACGGCTGTTTTGCGGGGAGTCACTCAGTCACTCCACTTTACAGCCTACCCTGTGAAGCACTTTGAGACGTCTCTCCTGACATGACAGCTGCTACATCAAATGCATTAGAATGAAAGGAGAAAGCCGCAAGGGCTGATCAAACCAGCGCTGGTCTGTTTTCTGTCCACTGCAGTCGCCTGGTCTAATCCCGCTCTGCTGATTGCTCCCCTTCAATATTCTTCCTCCTCAAGCACTTGTCCAATTGCCTTTGAAAATAATTCATGGGCTTTGCTTTCATTTCAGTTTGTGGCAGAGAATTCTGCATTGCAGGGCCCCCCTCTGTGTAAGAATTTTGTTTTCTCACCCACGCACTCCCACTCGTTTTTCGGTAATCAGCTCCGAGACTGGGGTCAAATCCGGTCTCCTGCCTGGGCACTGGTTAAAGGAAGGGAGTTGGCTCAGTTGGTAGCACTCATTCCCTTCTTGAGTCTGACGGTTGTGGGTTCAAGCTCCGTGTCTCACACCAGGACTTTCAGTCTAAGGCTGATGCTTCAGTGCAATGATGGGGGAGCACTGCAATGTCGGAGTTGCCGTCCTTTCGATGAGACGTTAAACCGAGACTCCCTCTGCGCCTGTTCAGGGGGGAAAACAACAACAATAAATTACATTTACCCAACACTTTTCACGTTGGAGGGCTGTGCAAAGACGCTGGACAGTCAGGGATTTGCACCTGACTGAACAGATCTAGTTTCTGGTTCTAAATGCACCAGAACCTGCGCCCAATACTCTCTGGAATTAGGTAAGCAGCACGCATTGCTCCAGGCAGAGAGTGCGCATTTCATTTCAATAGGTACTCCCAGAATTTCCATGTGTAGGTGGAACTCAGTTTGTTTACTCTGTTTGATACACATATTTTAAGCAAAATAAGAATGAGAAACAAATTCTGACAAATTCTGCACGTATAGACTTTGATCACACTGTCTACAATTTGTCTCCACAAATGGCTTCTCTTCCAGCCCCTGCAGCGTCGTTCCTCAGGGCTCTGCCCTCGGTCCTCTCCTCTTCAACACGTACATGTTCTCTCTTGGTGACATCATCCGCAGACTT